ATGGACAAATTCTTAGGAAAGCACAATCTTCCGAGACTGAATTAGGAAGAAATAGAAAATATAAACAGACCAATCACAAGGACTGAAATTGAGACTGTGATTAAAAATCTTCCAACAAACAGAAGTCCAGGACCAGATGGCTTCACAGGCAAATTCTATCAAACATTTAGAGAAGAGCTAAAACCTATCCTTCTTAAACTCTTCCAAAATATAGCAGAGGGAGGAACACCCCGAAACTCATTCTACAAGGCCACCATAACCCTGATACCAAACCAGACAAAGATGTCACAAAGAAAGAAAACTACAGGCCAATATCACTGATGAACACAGATGCAAAAATCCTCAACAAAATACTAGCAAACAGAATCCAACAGAGCATTAAAAGGATCATACACTATGATCAAGTGGGGTTTATCCTAGGGATGCAAGGATTCTTCAATATACACAAATCAATCAACGTGATAAACCATATTAACAAATTGAAGGATAAAAACCATATGATAATCTCAATAGATGCAGAGAAAGCTTTCAACAAAATTCAACACCCATTTATGATAAAAACCCTCCAGAAAGTAGGCATAGAGGGAACTTACTTCAACATAATAAAGGCCATATATGACAAACCCACAGCAAACATCGTTCTCAATGGTGAAAAACTGAAAACATTTCGTCTAACATCAGGAACAAGACAAGGTTGTCCATTCTCACCACTATTATTCAAAATAGTTCTGAAAGCTTTAGCCACAGCAATCAGAGAAGAAAAAGAAATAAAAGGAATCCAAATCGGAAAAGAAGAAGTAAAGCTGTCACTAGTTGCAGAGGAAATACTATACATAGAGAATCCTAAAGATACTATGAGAAAACTACTAGAGCTAATCAATGAATTTGGTAAAGTAGCAGAATACAAAATTAATGCACAGAAATTCTTGCATTCCTATACACTAATGATGAAAAATCTGAAAGAGAAATTAAGGAATCACTCCTATTTACCACTGCAACAAAAAGAATAAAATACCTAGGAATAAACGTACCTAAGGAGACAAAAGACCTGTATGCAGAAAACTATAAGACCCTAATGAAAGAAATTAAAGATGATACAAACAGATGGAGAGATATACCATGTTCTTGGATTGGAAGAATCAACATTGTAAAAATGATATACTACCCAAAGCAATCTACAGATTCAATGCAATCCCTGTCAAAGTACCAATGAAATTTTTCACAGAAGTAGAACAAAAAATTTCACAGCTTGCATGGAAACACAAAAGACCCTGAATAGCCAAAGCAATATTGAGAAAGAAAACCAGAGCTGGAGTAATAGACTCCCTGACTTCAGACTTTACTACAAAGCTACAGTAATCAAGACCATACGGCACTGGCACAGAAACAGAAATACAGATCAATGGAACAGGATGGAAAGCCCAGAGGTAAACCCATGCACATATGGTCACCTTATTTTTGATAAAGGAGGCAAGAATATACAATGGAGAAAAGACAGCCTCTTCAATAAGTGGTGCTGGGAAAACTGGACAGCTACATGTAAAAGAATGAAATTAGAACACTCCCTAACACCATACACAAAAATAAACTCAAAATGCATTAAAGACCTAAATGTAAGGCCAGACACTATAAAAACTCTTAGAGGAAAACAGAGGCAGAACACTCTATGACATAAATCAAAGCAAGGTCCTTTTTGACCCATCTCCTAGAGAAATAGAAATAAAAATAAACAAATGGGACCTAATGAAACTTAAAAGCTTTTGCACAGCAAAGGAAACCATAAACAAGACAAAAAAATCACCCTCAGAATGGGAGAAAATATTTTCAAATGAAGCAACTGACAAAGGATTAATGTCCAAAATATACAAGCAGCTCATGCAACTCAATATCAAAAAAACAAACAACTTAATCCAAAAATGGGCAGAAAAACTAAATAGACATTTCTCCAAGAAGATATACAGATGGCCAAGAAGCACATGAAAAGCTGCTCAACATCACTAATTATTAGAGAAATGCAAATCAAAACCACAATAAGGTATCACCTCACTCTGGTCTGAATGGCCATCAATAAAAATCTAGAAACAATAAATGCTGGAGAGGATGAGGAGAAAAGGGAACCCTGTTGCACTGTTGGTGGGAATGTAAATTGATACAGCCACTATGGAGAACAGTGTGGAGGTTCCTTATAAAACTAAAAATAGAACTATCATATGACCCAGCAATCCCACTACTGGGCATATACCCTGAGAAAACCATAATTCAAAGAGTCATGTACCACAATGTTCATTGCAGCTCTATTTACAATAGCCAGGACATGGAAGCAAACTAAGTGTCCATCGACAGATGAGTTGAGAAAAGATATGTGGCACATATATACGATGGAATATTACTCAGCCATAAAAAGAAACGAAATTGAGTTATTTGTAGTGAGGTGGAAGGACTTAGAGACTGTCATACAGAGTGAAGTAAGTGAGAAAGAGAAAAATAAATACCGTATGCTAACACACATATATATGGAATCTAAATAAATAAATAAATGGTTCTGAAGACCCTAGGGGCAGGACAGGAATAAAGACGCAGACGTAGAGAATGGACTTGAGGACATGGAGAGGGGGAAGGGTAAGCTGGGACGAAGTGAGAGAGTGGCATAGATTTATATGTACTACCAAATGTAAAACAGATAGCTAGTGGGAAGCAGCCGCATAGCACAGGGATATCAGCTCGGTGCTTTGTGACCACCTAAAGGGGTGGGATAGGGAGGGTGGGAGGGAGACGCAAGAGGGAGGAGATATGGGGATATATGTATATGTATAATTGATTCACTTTGTTATAAAGCAGAAACTAACACACCATTGTAAAGCAATTACACTCCAATAAAGACGTTTAAAAAAAAAAGAAAATACTTTAAATATAATCAGAGGAAATAAAAGAAATTGCAGGGGTTAAAGGAGTAGGATGTAGTGAGGTATACACCTACTTGTGGGAACTAGTCTCCAAAGATGGCCCCCCAGGGAGCCACAGTCTCTGGTATTTGCAGCCATGTATAGACATTACCCCTGTGACTCATCACTGTTGGGAGTCACACAGAATCACTCCACTGTATTGTAAGCCTTCCTCACAAGAGTTTTTGCACCTTTGGTCTCTTGGAATATTTGCTTTTAGTGCCCTGAATTGCCATGTAAGAAGTCCAACTCCCCTATGCCTGCCATGCTATGAAGAAACCCAAGTTAGCTACATGGAGAGGTCACACAAAAAGAGAGATTTCCAACCAGCCCCCAACTGTCTAGCTATCCCAGCCCAGGAGCCAGACACACAAATGAGTAAACCTTCGGATGATTCCAGTCTCAACCGCCATCTGCGATAAGCCTGTCAACCTCCAGAACCAAGAGAGAGAATAATAAATTATTGTTTTAACTCTAAGTGATTTGTTACATATCAGTAGATAAATAGAACATTACTTTTTGGTCAAGGAGTCAGATTAAGACAGATATGGACAGACTTTGCTTTTTTCTCAAAATACCATTCTTAGTGTGGAAAAGCCTTTTGTTTTTGGCAGTGGGTGAATAATGTCCATGTGGAAGAATATTTTATTCTTTGGAACAAGAAGGAAATAAATGGATGAGTGAATAGCTTATAAGGTGAAGAGAAAAGTTATAATTAATGGTCTTAATCTTATCAGTAAGATGTTAACATTTATTAAAAGGAAGGATTCAGAAAGGCAGCATTTATTAAAAGGAAGGATTTAGAAAGGCAGGGTTAGAAGTCTGTTTCTCTTCTAAAATAAAACAAAGTGAGTTAGAAGAACAAAGAACTTCTGAGCAGCAATGAAATTCTATAGGAAGTTGGAAAGTATAAAATTCACACCTAATTAGTATGGATTTATGGTGAACCTATCAACAGCTTTATGATTTTATGACTTCCTACTAAAATGTACAGAAACAGAAGAGTTCCTGAGGATGAAGGAGAAGCAAAGAGTATGAAGAGAGTGAGGTCTTCCAGGGCTCACTTGGGCTGACAAAAGAAGATGAAGCCTACAAGGGCAAGGAGTGAGAATATTTTCATTGTTGAGGACAGAATCGATACAAAATGCAGAATACAGAAGAGACAGAGGAAGAGAGGTCCTAAGTCCTCACTAGATTTATATTTTAAGATAATTGGAGGTGGGTTGGCAGGGACAGTGGAAAGAAAGAGAAGGAAAAGCAGGGTAGTTGTGTCTCTACTCAACGTGGTCTTTAAAGGAAATTAATGCTAAACGTTTCAGGAGTCACTCAGTATCTGAAGAAATTCTACATTTTTCTGACCACCGTCCATAAAGATCAAGCTTTATTGTTGGTTCGTCTTTCCCAGGTGACTATAAATTCTGCTCACAAGGACAATTTGGCACCAGCTACTTGCTCTGTGTGACCTCAAGCAAGGCTCCTCTCAACTGCCAGGAGGTAAGGCAGCTCTTACCTGTGATCTGATACTAGTCATTCAAGATGAGAGCTGGCAGTGTAGAGATTAATGGGCTCAGTGAAGAAAGAACATGTGATAAAGTTTCTCCTAGTGTTGGCTCGTTAGAGATGCCAGAGGACATGAAGGAGAAAAAGTTCTCTCCTCCCCGCAAAGCTATTTGTGCCGCCATTTGTTCAGAAGGACTCAAAGTACCTGAGCCCCACCGTGGAGTGCTCCCAACTCAAAGCCATCCTTCAAGAGAGAAGCACCACTCATGAGCTAGTGGTTTCACTTGTCCAGTCTACTTACTACATCATCACTAGAGAGACCCACAAGGAACATGGACTGGAATTCCAATGAAACCAGAAGCCACTGTCAGGCTACCTTCAGGGGATGGTCATGTGACTTTAACAATCACTGAGACCTGATCTAGCCAATCTGAAGATCTCTAGCCTCCACTAGCAAATACTCTGAGTCACCAATTTGCTCTAACTTTCTTTTCCTTCCCCTCCTCTGCCTACTTCCATGTCCTAAATCCTCAAGGAGGGCTTGGCAATGTTCCTTACCTTAGCTCTGGTCATCTGCTCAACATGGGTCAGGACATCATTCACTTTGAGCTGCAGGTCACTCTTGTCTTTTTCCAGTGTCTGCTCGACCCGTTGTAGATTTTCTACCTGGCTCTCCAGCTCAGCCAGGCTGTCTCCGTGCCTCTTCTTCAAAGAGGCAGAGGTTGCCTCAAAGTGCAGTGTGGACTCTTCCATGTCTCAGCGGAGCTTCTGGAATTTTGTTTCTTGTTTCTTAGTTATTTCCAGTTGAGCCAACCTGGCCCCTGCTGTCTCCTCCAGCCCCTCATTCAGGTCTTCCAGCTCTCGGTGAGGTCAGTTCTCTCCTTTTCTACCTTGGCTCGAGTGGTCCTTTAAGCTTCCAGTTCGTCTTTCAAAACCTGTATCTGAGCCTGTAGCAATAAATAATTTTGATTTTACTAAGCACTTGTAGCATATTTTATATTCAAGAGCTCTACTGTATTTTTTTTTTATTTCTCACAACTAACACTTTTGGTTCTCATTTTATAGTTAAAGAAGATAGAATACAGAGAAATTAAATGATTTGATCCAAACCAATACCAAGAGCAGGATTAAAATTTGTAATTCCTCTCAATTTCCCAGGCTTTGGTGATAAGCAACCTCATTATACTATATACATGAAGAGGAAATTTTAATAAAGAGCACTTTCCAAAGGAATAGAAAATATTTTTCATATAACAAGGAATCATTTTAAAGAGAGCTTATTAAAAAAATAACATGATGAATGTTATATACAATACCTCATTTATCTAGAATTTGCTTACCTGACAACCTCAACTATTGGAAACTTGGGCAAAAATCTGATTAATAGACTAAATATTTTGAGTTCAAGCAGCTAACTCACAAGCATCAATTTAATTTTACACACAATTCTGACAAACCTGGTTACTTGGTTTCTTAGTCTGTAGGTGATTTAAGGTAGCAGGAAAATTGAAATAAAAAATAATTTTAATTTGGTGGAGGAATGAGACTATTAAATTGGATAGTAATCTGATATCATTAGAAGCAGAATTATAAGACAAAGAAAAGTGATAAGAACTCTCAGAGCCCAAAAGTCTTTCAGTGTAACGGCAAAGAGCTCAACAAATCTTGATAGCATCGTTGTGGGACAGTACAGTAAAACCAAGGATGGTGGGCTTCCCTGGTGGTGCAGTGGTTGAGAATTTGCCTGCCAATGAAGGGGACATGGGTTCGAGCCCTGGTCTGGGAAGATCCCACATACCGCAGAGCAACTAGGCCCGTGAACTACAACTACTGAGCCTGCGCGTCTGGAGCTTGTGCTCCGCAACAAGAGAGGTCACGACAGTGAGAGGCCTGCGCACCATGATGAAGAGTGGCCCCTGCTCGCCGCAACTGAAGAAAGCCCTCACACAGAAACGAAGACCCAACACAGCCAAAAATTAATTAATTAATTAATTAATTAAATAAAATTTAAAAAAAAAAACAAGGATGGTCATTAACATCACCTTAAATAATTAGGCATAGGTTAGAGTATAGGGAAAAAAGGATAACTTCTATTTTAGAATATTAAAAATTTCATTAAATAAGAGTATGATTGCTGAGAGGAAGCTAATTTCTAGACCAGCCCATTAAGTAAGGCTATCTAATCTGTAGATGAGTTATGACAGAGAAGGTGCCAAAAAATGTATGATTTCCATATCCAGGTAATCGTGATCCCCTTCCAATTAGTTATCTTGGGATCCAATACCTTTATTTATAACAATACTGTCACTGAACCAAACATTTCTGAAACATTTCTTTAGAAATAACTTTAGTGCTACAGTAATCAAGACAATATGGTACTGGCACAAAAACAGAAACATAGATCAACAGAACAAGATAGAAAGCCCAGAGATAAACCCACGCACCTATGGTCAACTAATCTATGAAAAAGGAGGCAAAGATATACAATGGAGAAAAGACATTCTCTCAATAAGTGGTGTTGGGAAAACTGGACAGCTACATGTAAAAGAATGAAATTAGAACACTCCCTAACACCATACACAAAAATAAACTCAGAATGGATTCGAGATCTAAATGTAAGACTGGACACTATAAAACTCTTGGAGGAAAACATAGGCAGAACACTCTTTGACATAAATCACAGCAAGATCTTTTTTGATCCACCTCCTAGAGTACTGGACATAAACACAAAAATAAACAGGTGGGACCTAATGACACTTAAAAGCTTTTACACAGCAAAGGAAACCATAAACAAGATGAAAAGACAACCCTCAGAATGGGAGAAAATATTTGCAAATGAATCATCAGACAGAGGATTAATCTTCAAAATGTATAAACAGCTCATGCAGCTCAATATTAAAAAAACAAACAACCCAATCCAAAAATGGGCAGAAGACCTAAATAGACATTTCCCCAAAGAAGACATACAGATGGCCAAGAAGCACATGAAAAGCTGCTCAACATCACTAATTATTAGAGAAATGCAAATCAAAACTACAATGAGATATCACCTCATACCACTTAGAATGGGCATCAACAGAAAATCTACAAACAACAAATGCTGGAGAGGGTGTGGAGAAAAGGGAACCCTCTTGCACTGTTGGTGGGAATGTAAATTGATACAGCCACTATGGAGAACAGTATGGAGTTTCCTTAAAAAACTAAAAATAGAATTACCATATGATCCAGCAATCCCACTGCTGGGCATATACACAGAGAAAACCATAATTCAAAAAGACACATGCACCCCAATGTTCATTGCAGCACTATTTACAATAGCCAGGTCATGGAAGCAACCTAAGTGCCCATCGACAGACAAATGGATAAAGAAGATGTGGTACATATATACAAAGGAATATTACTCAGCCATAAAAAGGAATGAAATTGAGTTGAATGAAAGTTGTTGAGACGTGGATGGATCTAAAGACTGTCATACAGAGTGAAGTAAGTCAGAAAGAGAAAAACAAATATCGTATATTAATGCATGTATGTGGAACCTAGAAAAATGGTACAGATAAACCAGTTTGCAGGGCAGAAGTTGAGACACAGGTGTAGAGAACAAACGTACGTATGGACACCAAGGGGGGAAAGCCGCGGGGGGGTGGGGATGGTGGTGTGATGAATTGGGCGATTGGGATTGACATGTATACACTGATGTGTATAAAACTGATGACTAATAAGAACCTACAGTATAAAAAAACAAAAAACAACTAATACTAAACTTTCTTTGGGTTATTTGTATGGAAATATGTTAATATAAATGTTTCAGACATTAAAAATAAAAAGAAATAACCTTTAGATTGTATTTTTTAAATCATCAGGGTAAGAAAATTTGTATTTTGGATAAATTGAACATTTTTTGGATAAAGTATCATTTGAAGAGAAGTCTGGTGAATATGATAGGCAGTCACTTGGAGATTAATATTATCTGAAAGCTTGCCCATAAAGCAGTGAGACTGGTCTAATTTGGCTCAGAATATCTCAGAAGGTAATAATCAGAAAAAAGTTCCAAAATTATTTTGAATAATAGTTACATTAGTGAGATAACTACTTACCTTCAAAGGAAAAAAATCCATCTGCATGTATACATGAGGAGTTAAACGTATCCATGCTTTAAATTACTTTATAATGTGGTCATATAGTATAAAACAGTTGCCTGGTCTAAAACTTATAAATAGCTGCCCATTATCAAATAATGTTTTGAGGCTACAAGTAGCTACAAGACAGATTTTCAGCATAATTGCCTTCTAATCGCAAGAACTAATCATCATAAAAAATTAAATTGGTAGCATTGAATGCTTACCATGGGTCAGGCACTAAGCTTACCACTTAAATGTACTGTTGCATTTAATTTTAGCTCAAAGGTTGTCAGGAGGATTAATGACTAAAAATGTAGATGTCCAGGGTTTTAGCACAATACCTAGTTTATGTCAAACATTCAACAAATTAGCTACTTGTTTTTTTATTACCTTCGTGATTAGGAAATCTAAGCTTAAACAGTAATGTTCTCCAGAGTCACATATCTACAGAATGCCAGGTAACATTCTCAACCACTGCTCTTTTCTGCCTCATCTATAGTTGGCTAGAGCTATGGGTACCTTGGCAGAGCATTTGTCACTGAAGTGTCAATCATCACCCATGGATCTAACTACAGGTGCACACAGGTATTTGATAAATGATTACCTGGAGCTCTTTAACCATCTTCTGAAGCTGAGCCACCAGGCCTTTCTCATTCTCCACCTTTGAGCTCATCTGATTCATTTCTAATTATTTCCTGTTAGGGAAAAGAGGTATCAAGTGGAATTGCTCAGAGTAATAACATTTTGTTTAAATGTTCTTTAAGTTATAGTAATAACACATGAAGTCATTCACTGTAAAAAATTCAACTATTACATCTATAGCTGAAGTCTTCTTGGCTATTATACCCAATCTCTCTTCCTTGCCTAGAGGTAACCACCATAATCAGTTCGGTGTGAATCCTCCAGACATTTTTCTGAGTATTGACATATGTTTGTGCTTATATATCAGTACAAATAGTTTCATTTTCTTTACTGTGAAAGGTATAATACTGTATACATTTGAATTTATAATTCTACAACATTTTTAACCCAATAATACATGGAGATTTTTCCATGTTGGCCTACACATAGATTACTTCACTTAAAAATTAACTGTGACATAGTAGTTTATGATTTAGATATCATGTGGTTATTTATCCATTTCCCTATTAATAAACATTGAGGTTTTCCCCCAAATTTTACTTTTACAAATAATGCTGTTCATATACATGCACCCTTGTGTACATGTCAGTGTCTCTACAGAGTGGATATTGAGCAGGGAATTGGTGCGTCGGTTATAGGTATGTGTTTAAAAACTTATAACCTTGCCCTTTGGCCTCCAATAGCAGTGTGAGGTTATTTCTCTACATTTACACTTAACATTAGCACACTTCTAAATTTTTCCTAATCTAACAGATGAGTATGTCATTGTTTTATAATGAATGTCCTTGTTTACTAGTGAGGACAGCATGTTATCAACTATGAGGATTTTAAAATGGGCAATAAAACAAATGAACTGTGTCCGTTGCCCATTTTTCTGTTAGGTTGTTCATCTAATTATTGAATTATAGATTTTCCTTTAATACTCTTGATCTTTATTTTTTGATATCTGCTGCAGATATTTCTCCCACTTTCTAATTTGCCCCAGTTTTATTTATGTTGGCTTTTGCCACATAAATGTTTAAAATGTCGAGGTATCAACATCAAATTTATCAATATATTCCTTTTATGCCTTTGGATTTTTGTGACTCAGTCTGACCTGCCAGTTTCCTAAGACTTACCACCTATATTGTCTTTTAATGGTTTTTGCTGTTTTTTTTTTAATTGAAGAACATTTAACAGGAGATCTACCCTCTCAACAAATATTTAAGTGTACAATTTTATTAACCATAGGCACAACATTGTATGTCACTCTAGAACTTAATCATCTCTAGAACTTAATCATCTTGCACGATGGAAGCTTTATGCCCATTGAAGAGCAACTCCACATTTCCCCCTGCCTCCAAGCCCCTGGACGCCACCATTCTACTCTGTTTCTATGAGTTTGGGATGCCTCATATAAGTGGAATCATGCACTATTTGTCCTTCTGTGACCGACTTATTGCATTTAGCATAATGTCCTCCAGGTTCATCCATGTTGTTGCATACGGCAGGATTTCCTTTAAAAAGAGGCTGAATAATGTTCCATTAAGTGTATACACCACATTTTCTTTACCCATCCATCCATCAGTGGGCATTTAGGTTGTTTCCATATCTTGGCTATGGTGAATAATGCTGCATTTTCTAAAGATTTTAAAGCTTGATTTTTGCATTTAATTCTTTAATGAAACTGGATTTTGTGTTTGTGTGAATAGCGTGAGGAAGAAATTTAACTTTTATCTCAGAAGATGAAGAGCTTATAATCTGTGTTATTTATTAAGTATTCTATCCTGTCATCACCATTTTAAAATGCCACATTTTCATGTATTGTCTCCATATATACATAGGTCCATTTAGAGAAAATGCTGTATAATAAATTTATCATTTCCTGAAAACATGGGTTTCTGAAATGCCAGAGCTCTTTGACCTGTGGCCTACAAGGACATAGAGTATCATTTTCACTTTGCTGAGCTGAAACACAATCTTCAAAATTGAATGCTTAGGGAACTCTATCATCATTTTACCTTTCACTGTTCCGTTACATTCATAGGGTTACTTATTTCATCTTTTCCTACCTATCAGGTCGGAAACACCTATCAAGTTCAGTAACTTATTGGCAGGCTATTAATCAAGTCTGACCACAAGCATGTGTAATGGAAACTCATGTACACAGACAGGAAAACCAGAAGCTCATAGTTGCTCACTTGACTTTCTTCTTCACTGTGGGCTCCAATAACCAGTGGGCTCTCAGCTTTAACCTGGCCTTATCTCACTCTTAGATCTCACTGTTTCCCTCTCTTATTTGATCTATTCCAAATAACTGGAAAATCCCTAATCGTTAGAAGAAAGTCTAGCTGGGGACTCCCCTGGCAGTCCAGTGGTTAAGACTACGGGTTCCCCCTTCAGGGGGCATAGGTTCAATCCCTGGTCAGAAAACTGAGATACTGCATGCTGCATAGCTCAGCCAAAATTTTTTTAAAATATGGAGAAGAAGAAGAAAGTCTAGCTGAACAGAGGAAGACAAAAGGGACAAGGTGAGAAAATCCATTTCACTGAATGATGAAACTAAACTGAGAGGGCCGTCTTGCCCTGAGCTCCTTGGGAATCCATGTGAACTGAAGGTCTACTGATTTTGATCATGTTATGTTTTGCTTTCAGTTTTAAGGTTTAATACTTATACAGTAAATTATTTGACCAAAAAAAGTTAGATAAATGTTAATGAGGTTATATCTGGCAAATAAGTTTTGTTTTGTTTTTTTTTAAATGATCAGATGTTATATGGGACTTCACATTAGGATTTCTTTTCTTTTTTTTTTTTTTTACTTTAGGCCATTGGTCTCATCATGAGTAAAAGAAGTGAGCGATTTTTATTTTGACTTGTAACTTCAAATTCCAATAATTCGCATCTCCTGTGCCTTACACCTTTCATTCGCATCTACTGGTCAGCCTCCTCAGTTACTTTCTTGTAGGTTATTACATAATTATAAAAAGAAAGTTCACATAAAGTCTAGCAAAAGAAAAAAAAATCATTTCCTAGGCTTGTTATCCTTCTTATCCTCCCCTTCAGGTCTTAAGACATCTGGCCCTAGGGTCATGAGGATAAATGACATGAGAGAGCTGTTTCCTCCAATAAAAGGTCTCCCAGAATCTCGAGTCAACAGAAAGGTGACTCACCTCCTCAGCTTTCCTGCTAGCTGCAGCTGCCTGCTCTCCAGGTCCTCCATGCTTTCCCGGTTCAGCTTTACCTCGCCCTCCAGTTTGCACTTTTCCTTTTCCCAGTTCACTCTCTCTTTGCTCTCCTGTTCAAGGGCACCCTCAAGCTGACAGAAGGAGACATTATTAAGCCCAATAAATAAGTAAAGTTTATACTTTACTAGATGTGTTCATTAACCACTTACCTTCTGGAAAAAGAAAGAAAAATACAAGCAGAGTCTGTAAATGATGCCCAGTTATGTAGATATTTTAAAATAAATATTGTACACATCAATAGGACAACAAAAGAATCTAGAAATCACGGTGATGAAGGAAAACTTTAAAGATTAAGGAATACGTGTTCTAGCCTACAGAAGAAGCCAATAATAGATGCCTAGTGAGCCCTTGTTTGATTGCTTTCCAGTGATGGGAAGCTCACTTCTTCACATGGCAGCTCATTTCATGGGTAGATAAGTCCATTTACTCAGGAGCACTTCTTCATAAGAAGCCAAAGTAGTCTCTGTAAGTTCATCCCACCGGCCTAAGCTCTGCTCCCTGGAGCAGCACCAAGCAAATCTGTCTCCACATGATCATTCACGAATATTAGGCAGCTGTCCTGAGTCTTCCAACTCAGTATCACTGACCCTTTCAAACGCATCTCACATGGCATGATTTCCACACCCTCCTTTACCACCTTGGTACCCTCTATGGTCCATAACATTGTGTCATATTCTGGTACCTCCAACAAGGTGATCAGAACATTCAAGTTCTGTCTGTAGTGTTGCCAACCATGATGTTGAGGTTAGCTTAGCGGGAGGCTAAATAACAGTTACAAAATGGCTAGTTTTCAGTGATATATTTACTTTGCCACAAAAGAAGCTATTTCCTGTGGCTAGCAAAAGATATAAAATTCGAATAGGGGAGAAGGGAGAATTTCTGGAGGGCATATGCAAAAACCTGAAAATAAATGAACTCTGCGAGAGAACAAGTGTGTGTGTTGTTTGCACACAACCAATAAATCCCCATATTGAGGCTTTGTGAGATATGTATCAGTGGAAATAGGAAGAGGAGTGAGACGACTAATAGGTAATAGAGGAAACTGATAGAAAGGCATGAGGAAAAAAGAAGCAGATAATAAAAAAAAAAAACCCTAACCACCCTTGTCAGCAATTTAATAAAGGCTAAGCTTTGGGGACTAATAAAACAGTGAATGCACACACTGTCAGCTGGGAGGAAACAGGAAGAGTGATGAACCTAACCACTGAGGCTCATCTGAAGCATCTTTATTTCACAGGGTATTTGGAGGCAGAACAGGGGCACCATCTCCAGAATCTTACAAGTGTTTTCCAATACTGTTGGTAGAACACAGCTTGTGACTTACATATCTTTTTACTTTAATAAACCTCAGTGCATGGCTGGAGACACAACAGGGCCTTAAAGCAATCCTTCAGTACTAGTGTCAGATAAAGCGCCAACATATCTGCAGGGCAAAACACCAGGTTCTGTGGGGAACAGTCAGTCAGACTGATACCCCTTCACGATTCATCTCAGTGTTCTCCCACTGCCCAGGGTTGTGTGAAAGTTGCATATAAAAACAGACAGATTACATGCTGGGGCCTTTCTTCTACTGTAGTGGCTCACCTCTTATTTCTAAATAATGAGGGAAACTAACCATGCTACTAAGTTTTCCTGAAAATGTCAAGATAAATGAACTAAGTAAAACGTGGAGGTTTGTACAGATGTAGACACACAGCTAACTAGCAAGACATATCACTACTGACCTCGTTCTCTGGCTGCTCTAGTGTCAGCTTGGTTTTGCTCAGGGTGAGGGTTTTCTCCTCTTCCGCGTGCAGGTCCTCCAGGGTCCGCTGGCAGGCCTCCCGCGCACCCTGGCTGCTCGCTGAAGTTTGCTGACGTCCTCACTGAGAGACTCCACCTCCTCAGTCAGATTCTTAACCTGTGGGGAGAAGACGACAACAGTTCCATGAGAGCCACTTATGGAAGGTGGGGTATAAACACTAAGGGCCATCTCCTCTCTTTTCTAGGACCAAAAATCTCATGCGGTATCCACTGTCATAAAGAACTAAATTTAGCCAAATTCCTGATGGACTTTTTAAAACTCTAAATTCACTTTTTCTTTTACACACAGACACAAATGATCTGTTAGCTCTCCTGGTCGGGGAATGGGGTATTCTGGTTAATCAAATATTATCAGCATAGTGGCTTCCCTGGTGGCACAGTGGTTGAGAATCCGCCTGCCAATGCAGGGGACAAGGTTTCAAGCCCTGGCCTGGGAAGATCCCACATGCCGCGGAGCAACTAGGCCCGTGAGCCACAACTACTGAGCCTGCGCGTCTGGAGCCCGTGCTCTGCAACAAGAGAGGCCCACGCACCGCGATGAAGACTGGCCCCCACTCGCCGCAACTAGAGAAAGCCCTCGCACAGAAACAAAGACCCAACACAGCCAAAAACTAATTAATTAAAATATATATATATATAAAATCAGCATAGGTCAGTGGATGGCCAGTATTCAGAGTGCCGTATTATTTGTATAACAAGAACACCACTAAAGGTAATTTAGCTTTCTTTAGAGTATTCAGGGCAATATTAATCTTGTGCCTCAAACCCTAAGAAAGTGGCAGTTAAAGAGAGTTCCAGCTGATAAAATAGGCAAAGGTGTAAGCCATTTATATCAGGTCCAAGTGCTTTTTATGAAAGGGAACTGATGTACAAGAGTTGCTATTTAGTCATCTGCCAAAATTACGATATTATTCTGGAGACTTTCTTTTTTTATCAAAGGTTTGATACAGACCCCTCAGCTGACTTCAGTCTATACACAGATGCACAAGATAAAAACCTCAGTTAAAATGAACAAAACATTAAGGTCCTTAGCTGGAATTAAAATGACATCTCAAGGTCAAGTTCCAAATCAACGACAGAGGTGGGAATTCAGACGTGTCCCAAATCACCTTTCAATAAACTGCATCCTGTTCCCTCTCCTTCCAAAAAAGGATACTTAGAGAGGCCCAATGAAGCCATTTTGCTCTTTCTATCAGATTTCACATGCAATTAGATTGGAACAAATGAAAACGTTTCATTTGGGAGATTAAGTGGGGTTCCATAAATTCAAGTTGGAACTTTGAATTAGGATGGCACAGTTCACCAGATCCTTCATTTGATGCCAGTTCTGACTCCCAGTGCTGTAAAGTTGCGGACCACTGTGTTAATTAATATAAACAGAGCAAGTCTGGTCCTGGAGCCCGATTGAGAGTGTGGAATTCAGGCATCTAGGCCTTCCTGACATTATAGAAAAAGTACCTTGTACTCTGAAGCACGCTTCTCCTTCTGTGACTTTGCCAATAGTGTCTCCAGGTCATCCATTTCTTTCTTCTTCGACGCGGAACATTCATCTCCGAGTCTCCGCCCTCCGGCAGTCAGCTGGGAATTTACCTCCTCTTCTTCCTCCCCCCAACCCCCAACGCAGGCAGCGCCTGGACGCTGGCCTCCAGCTGGATCTTGGATTTAATCAGCGACTCGCGCTGCTCTTCAGCATTTGCCAGGGTCTCTCGTTCCCGCCATGATGAGGAGAAAATTGTTGCCCACAGCTGGAAGTAATTTAACAGCCAGGCGAAATGCTGCTTAACACACAGCAGAGAGATAATTGCCTGTCCTCTGCCCGGCACTTTCACCTACCTTTCCTAAGCAGTTGAAATAATATTCCCAGTTCCCTGACCCTATGGTTGAGAAGTGGAGGAGTTGCTTGTGTTTGGAGGTGCTTTTGATCTTTCAGGCCATTCAGTAGATTAGATTACCTCTTCTAAAGCACTTAATAGAATCCTGGTGGGCTAAAGGAGCTAACATGCCTCCAAAAATCAGTGGTGTGCTGATTAAATCACAGCTACTGGAAGCATCCCTGCAGGCATATAGTTTGAGGGCGGTACCTGCTCAGAATATGGTCTTTTAAGAAAGTGGTGTTCCCTCAGACAATAGAATATTTATAATATTATTATAAGGACCCTGATGCACTTATTTAATATATAAGCATCTTCTAATAAATAGAGCTGGGCTGTATATTTTTTTATTCATAAGCTGAATTTACAATTCATGAGGTTCCTTGAATATCACTAACTAGACTTTACTATTATTTCCAACTAAAATATTTTTCTTGAAGGTTCTGCCAGCAGTAAATTCCCCAAGTTATAACCATAGAGTGTGCAATCCTCCTTCCTCTTATTTTTTCAAACATACTGCTGCCAGCTCTCACTGTGTGGCCCACTCTTTCTGTGTTATGGTCCAAGTCAAAAAAGAAGGGACCGATTGCTTTTTGCTACAAAAGCACCTGTGTAACTTTGAACTCCTTTCATTTGTCTCCATTTAGAGGCTAAATAAAACCTCTTTTCTGTGAGCAAGTTCTTAATTACTAGAGGTCTTGTTGTGACATAACTTCACACATATCTCCATATTTCATCTTTAGACCTCATCCATCCTCTGCAATTTGGGCAATCAATTACCTAACTATTTGCTTGGCTCACATTGTTTCATCTACTTAGATCAAGAGCAGAGAAGGGCAAAAATCCAGGCTATTGGATCCTGGCTAACTCTCAGCCTGTCTGCCCAACAAATGGGGCTCAAAGAGGCACAGATGGGGGAGGTATAAAATAGTGAATCCCCAACATCATTGAAGACCCAAGAGAAGGGCTAAACTAAAAACAAACAAAAATGTTAAGGATCCATGCATATCAGAGAAGCTTCCAATGCTTGAGCAATAATGGGGATATTTGATCTTAGCTCATCCCAGGTTGACAGGCAGAATAGCTCTTTGCTCTCTTCCATTCAGCACTTGTACAGGACCTGTCACCATCACCAAATGAAGCCAACAATCCAATCGACCATCATCGATCCTCTCATTTAACATGATGGCAGGTTTGGGGCCAGCTGAGCAGTGGTGTGACAGCTTAACAGTAGGGACATCCTTTCCCCAGTGGCAGTTATTTTCTCATGTACTCACAGTGTTAATTGAAATGGGTTCACTCAGTGCTTCCGGTATTTTGAGTTAGTGAATAATTTGAAAAGAATCCTTGTTTCCTTGATTCCTACTGTATGGAGGTGTGTTTCTTAAAAATCAATGAGATAAGAAAAAATCAATGAGATAAAATATTTCATAGCCAGGTCAGCTTTTTAAATCAGTTACAATTTGAACTCATCTCAGCCTTCCAGGACTTGCCCTGCAATTGGCTTCATGTGTCTCCTATGCTCCCCACAATGATCTTTATTCATGTATCCCAGACTTTTACCCACCTTTCCCTTCACAAGTTGGGTGTATTTCTATCCCCACATCAGCCCAGGTAGTACTGGCCACTCTTTTTGTTGAGAGGAAGAATGATGAAAACTAGGAGGCCAGGTCTCATCCTAGGCTCCCTGTGTCCTAAGCCAGACAAAATATGATATTACAAACTGTGATTCTCACAATATGGATCTTAATGTAGGTTTGGAGCGGGGCCCAGGAATCTGTATTTCTAACAAGCATCCCAGGTGAGGCTGATACACACTAAAGTTCTTGAACCACTGCTATATTAAATATGTATCAGAAATGTGGGTCTGAATGTAAACTCTCGTAAAATATGGCCTATTGGAACACTGATGGGTAGCAGAGTCCCAAAAGAAACGAATAACTTGGGTCAGCCTAAAACTACTAAATTTTCTGTTTTCCGTAAGTCCAAAAAGCAGGAAAAATACAATATATTTATATAATGTATTTGAACCCAGTATTATTTAACTTAGCACTGTGCTAAGTGCAGTGGAGAGTACAATAAAGGTGGATAAAATTTCATACCTGCCTTTGGGATGTAACAGTAGTCCTGGTAGCTAAAGAAGAGGAATAAAAAAGGGAGTGAATAAGGGCACATCGGCATCAGATTAGAGATGGAGGCTCAGATGCCTGGGCCAAGGGTTTGGATCCTATAATGCACATATTGCAGGATCTGAAGCTTGTTCATCAGGGAAGCAACATATTTGTTCAAGACAATGGTTCTCAATCCTGGCTGGATATCAGAATCACCCATACAGATGATTTGGACCCACACAAGACCCACTTAGTCAAAGTATCTGAGAGTGGAGTCTAGGCACCTTTCTTTTTATTTGTTAATGCTTCACAAATAACTTTGATGCAAAGTCAAGGTTGAAAACTGCTGTTTTAAGAACTCACCTCATTGTGATATTGACTTGGACTGGGAAAGGGCAAGTAGGGAGATCTAAATCAGGAAAACCAGTTAGGGGCATACTGCAATAATCCTGAAGGTCTCAGTAAAGCTTTTCTCAGAACCTATTAAGATCCTATCTTTTTTTTTTTTTAACACCTTTATTGGAGTATAATTGCTTTACAATGGTGTGTTAGTTTCTGCTTTATAACAAAGTGAATCAGTTATACATATACATATGTTCCCATATCTCTTCCCTCTTGTGTCTCCTCCCTCCCACCCCTTTAGGTGGTCACAAAGCACCGAGCTGATCTCCCTGTACTATGCGGCTACTTCCCCCTAGCTATCTATTTTATGTTTGGTAGTGTATATATGTCCATGCCACTCTCTCACTTTGTCACAGCTTACCCTTCCCCCTCTCCATATCTTCAAGTCCATTCTCTAGTAGGTCTGTGTCTTTATTCCCATCTTACCCCTAAGTTCTTCAGGACCTTTTTTTTTCCTTAGATTCCATATATATGTGTTAGCATAAGGTATTTGTTTTCCTCTTTCTGACTTACTTCACTGTGTATGACAGACTCTAGGTCCATCCACCTCACTACAAATAACTCAATTTTGTTTCTTTTTATGGCTGAGTAATATTCCATTGTATATATGTGCCACATCTTCTTCATCCATTCATCCGATGATGGGCACTTAGGTTGTTTCTATCTCTGGGCTATTGTAAATAGAGCTGCAATGAACATTTTGGTACATGACTGTTTTTGAAATATGGTTTTCTCAGGGTATATGCCCAGTAGTGGGATTGCTGGGTCGTATGGTAGATCTATTTGTAGATTTTTAAGGAACCTCCATACTGTTCTCCACAGTAGCTTTATCAATTTACATTCCCACCAGCAGTGCAAGAGTGTTCCCTTTTCTCCACACCCTCTCCAGCATTTATTGTTCCTAGATTTTTTGATGATGGCCATTCTGACAGGTGTGAGATGATACCTCATTGTAGTTTTGATTTGCATTTCTCTAATGATTAATGATGTTGAGGATTCTTTCATGTGTTTGTTGGCAATCTGTATATCTTCTTTGGAGAAATGTCTATTTAGGTCTTCTGCCTATTTTTGGATTGGGTTGTTTTTTTGTTATTGAGCTGCATGAGCTGCTTGTACATTTTGGAGATTAATCCTTTGTCAGTTGCTTCATCTGCAAATATTTTCTCCCATTCTGAGGGTTGTCTTTTGGTCTTGTTTATGGTTTCCTTTGCTGTGTAAAAGCTTTTAAGTTTCATTAGGTCCCATTTGTTTATTTTTGTTTTTATTTCCATTTCTCTAGGAGGTGGGTCAAAAAGGATCTTGCTGTGATTTATGTCACAGAGTGTTCTACCTATGTTTTCCTCTAAGAGTTTGATAGTTTCTGGCCTTACATTTAGATCTTTAATCCACTTTGAGCTTATTTTTGTGTATGGTGTTAGGGAGTGATCTAATCTCATACTTTACATGTACCTGTCGAATATTCCCAGCACCACTTATTGAAGAGGCTGTCTTTTCTCCACTGTATATTCTTGCCTCCTTTATCAAAGATAAGGTGACCATATGTGCATGGGTTTATCTCTGGGCTTTCTATCCTGTTCCATTGATCTATCTTTCTGTTTTTGTGCCAGTACCATACTGTCTTGATTACTGTAGCTTTGTAGTATAGTCTGAAGTCAGGGAGCCTGATTCCTCCAGCTCCATTTTTCATTCTCAAGATTGCTTTGTCTATTCAGGGTCTTTTGTGTTTCCATACAAATTGTGAAATCTTTTGTTAGAGTTCTGTGAAAAATACCAGTGGTAGTTTGATAGGGATTACATTGAGTCTGTAGATTGCTTTGGGTAGTAGGGTCATTTTCACAATGTTGATTCTTCCAATCCAAGAACATGGTATAACTCTCCATCTATTTGTATCATCTTTAATTTCTTTCATCAGTGTCTTATAATTTTCTGAATACAGGTCTTTTGTCTCCATAGGTAGATTTAGTCCTAGATATTTTATTCTTTTTGTTGCAATGGTAAATGGGAGTGTTTTCTTAATTTCAATACAATCTTACCTTAAGAAACAGGAAACATCTCAAATAAACAACCTAACCTTGCACCTAAAGCAATTAGAGAAAGAAGAACCAAAAAACCCAAAGTTAGCAGAAGGAAAGAAATCATAAAGATCAGATCAGAAATAAATGAAAAAGAAATGAAGGAAACAATAGCAAAGATCAATAAAACTAAAAGCTGGTTCTTTGAGAAGATAAACAAAATTGATAAACCATTAGCCAAACTCATCAAGAAAAAAAGGGAGAAGACTCAAATCAATAGAATTAGAAATGAAAAAGGAGAAGTAACAACTGACACTGCAGAAATACAAAAGCTCATGAGAGAGTACTACAAGCAACTCTATGCCAATAAAATGGACAACCTGGAACAAATGGACAAATTCTTAGAAATGCACAACCTGCCAAGACTGAACCAGGAAGAAATAGAAAATATGAACAGACCAATCACAAGCACTGATGTTGCGACTGTGATTTAAAATCTTCCAAAAAACAAAAGCCCAGGACCAGATGGCTTCACAGGCAAATTCTATCAAACATTTAGAGAAGAGCTAACACCTATCCTTCTCAAACTCTTCCAAAACATAGCAGAGGGAGGAACACTCCCACACTCATCCTACGAGGCCACCATCACCCTGATACCAAAACCAGACAAAGATGTCACAAAGAAAGAAAACTACAGGCCAATATCACTGATGAACATAGATGCAAAAATTCTCAACAAAATAGTAGCAAACAGAATCCAACAGCACATTAAAAGGATCATACACCATGATCAAGTGGGGTTTATTCCAGGAATGCAAGGATTCTTCAATATATGCAAATCAATCAACGTGATACACCATATTAACAAATTGAAGGATAAAAACCATATGATCGGGCTTCCCTGGTGGCGCAGTGGTTGAGAGTCTGCCTGCCGATGCAGGGGACACGGGTTCGTGCCCCGGTCTGGGAAGATCCCACATGCCGCGGAGCGGCTGGGCCCGTGAGCCATGGCCGCTGAGCCTGTGCGTCCGGAGCCTGTGCTCCGCAACGGGAGAGGCCACAGCAGTGAGAGGCCCGTGTACCGCAAACAAACAAACAAACAAACAAAAAAACCATATGATCATTTCAATAGATGCAGAGAAAGCTTTCAACAAAATTCAATACCCATTTATGATAAAAACCCTGCAGAAAGTAGGCATAGAGGGAACTTACCTCAACATAATAAATGCCATATATGACAAACCCACAGCAAACATCATCCTTAATGGTGAAAAACTGAAACCATTTCCACTAAGATCAGGATCAAGACAAGGTTGCCCACTCTCACCACTCTTATTCAATATAGTTTTGGAAGTTTTAGCCACAGCAATCAGAGAAGAAAAAGAAATAAAAGGAATCCAAATCAGAAAAGAAGAAGTAAAGCTGTCACTGTTTGCAGATGACATGATACTACACATAGAGAATCCCAAAGATGCTACCAGAAAACTACTAGAGCTAAGCAATGAATTTGGTAAAGTAGCAGGATACAAAATTAATGCACAGAAATCTCTGGCATTCCTATACACTAATGATGAAAAATCTGAAAATGAAATTAAGAAAGAGCCTGTCTTTTGATTTGCTAATGGGTTACGTGCTAACTACAGAACTTGAATTAAGATCCAGAGCTTCCTGACTCCCATGATAGATTTCCATCTGTTTATATAGTTAAAACCCATCTAAAAGTTTGTCCCTTTTTCAAAGACATACTGTCAATGAAATCACTTCACTGTAAAGGGTGTCTCTCTAAGTGTTTCCACTGTCTGTGTTGGATGAAATTCTACAGTATTTGCATAGCACGTGCCTCTATTTTTTTTCAAGTCAGTACTGCCTGCAAAACAAGGGAATCTAATTAGAAACTTGATTTGAAGAAGAAATGGTGGGGCTAGTCACAGCCTGCAGCTGAAGAAGCAAGTCATTCTTTTCCTGGTGTAGGGAGATTTGCTTGGCTTTCAGCTCCTCCCTCGGAGATTCTGATTTCGCCAACGCTTTTTGCAGCTGCACACACTCTTCCTCAGTCCAGCTACCTCCTTTCCCGTTCCAGCAGATCTAACAAAAGGTTTGATCTTGAAGAAGAGCCTCATCCACGGCCAGCCCTTCACAGCCATGAAAGCTCTTACGTTCCACTGGATCAAAAGAAGTGCATCCCTAAGTTGAGGGGGAAAAAAAGAAAAGAAAAGAAAGTTAACCTAGACTATTTAAAAGAGTTACTTTCCGGATTTCCCTGGTGTTGGGTGGTTAAGAATCTGCCTGCCAATTCAGGGGACACAGATTCGATCCCTGGTCCAGGAAGATCCCACATGCTGCGGAGCAACTAAGCCCGTGCACCACAACTACTGAGCGTCCGAGCCACGTGTTGCAACTACCGAACCCGTGTGCTGCAACTACTGAAGCCCACATTCATAGAGCTCGTGCTCTGCAACAAGAGAAGCCATTGCAATGAGAAGCCCGTGCACTGTAATGAAGCGTAGCCCCCACTTGCTGCAACTAGAGAAAGCCCACACGCAGCAACGAAGACCCAACGCAGCCAAAAATAAATAAAATTTTAAAAAATAAAAAAATTTAAAAGTAAAAGAGTTATTTTCCAAATTAAGATCCCTAATAAGCACATCTTTTTAGGAGTCATTATAAATCCTCATTAGTCTTCAAAGCACTTCTACATCCAAGCTCTCATCTGATTCTATCAAAAACCCTTTGAGGGACTTCTGGGGCTAACAATGTTGTGGACTATTTGTCCTGAAAATGTTTCCACTACAAACATCCTTTAAATGAGAGCTGACCCTTAAAGAGGGTAAGAACTATAGAGGGCGCTAAAAAAAAAAGGCAGAGCGAAGAGTGAATGCTTGTACAGTTTGACCATCCTTATGGAAGGAGGAAGCCAGGCTTGGTATTGTAGGGTTTGTATTTTTATATCCTTGTGGATAAAGAGACAGGCTGTGATTTTCAAAGAATTTCACCCTTAATGAAAAGGAGGATTTAAAAATTCACCCACTGGCACAGAGAGAAGTCAAAGAGAAGCACATCTGATTTGGTCTGGGCTCAGAGTGAAGAAAAAAGATCCTATGCTAAGAATGTTTTTTATATACTATGAACCAGCACCACCGGCGTGTTTGAGATTTAAATTATACTACCTGATTAGTGTAGAAATACACAAGAAATTAGCATAATCATTTTTTTACACTGGTAATAAATACCCTTTGGGCCCTTGGGGGAAAAATACAAAAGTGCACTGAAGAAAATACCCTAAAATCAAGCACTAGAGATTTTCTTAAAGTCCCCTTGAAGATGAGCTTACAGTTCAAAATTACAAAACACATATAGAGGGGCTTCCCTGCTGGCACAGTGGTTGAGAGTCCGCCTGCCGATGCAAGGGACACAGGTTCGTGCCCCGGTCTGGGAGGATCCCACATGCCGTGAAGTGGCTGGGCCCGTGAGCCATGGCCGCTGGGCCTGTGCATCCGGAGCCTGTGCTCCGCAACGGGAGAGGCCACAACAGTGAGAGGCCCGCGTACTGAAAAAAAAAAAAAAGAAAGGAATTAATCTAAACTGATTCAAGAAGAAAAAAATCTCAATAGGCTTATATCTATTAAATAAATTAAATCAAAATTGTAAAATCTTTCATGAAAGAAACACCAGATCTAGATGGTTTTATAGGCAAATTTTACCAAGCACTCAAAGACAGATAATCAAAATAAATTGTTTCATGTTTTGAAAAGAGAAAATATTGCCTAACTCTTTTATGAGGTTAAGGTAACCTTGATTCAAAGTCAGATAACAGCAGAAGAAACAATTACAGGCCAAACTTATTCATGAACATTGAGGCAAAAATACTATAATACTATAAACCATCCCACAATGTATGAAAAATATCATATTTTATAAACAAAGTGGGTTTAACTTTTTTTAATCTATTAATTTAATTCAACACATTTATGGGTTAGATGTAAAAGAAGAATTTAACCCTTTCTTGGTAAACGTGCTTAACAAAATAAGATGGAACGAATGTCCTCTATACAATAAATCATATCTACCAAAAAAAAATCTACAGAAAACATGATATTAAGAGGAAAGCAATATCTTTCCCCAAAGTCAGAAATATGACTAAGTCTGGCAAAAGTTTTTGAAGTTGAAATACCACAAGTTGGTGAGAATATAGAGCCATGGGACTTTCATATACTTCTGGTAAAGAGCAAAACAGAAAGCATTTTGGCAACATCTCATAAAGTTGGAGTTGTGTATAGCCTAAAACCTAATAATTCATACCTTAGAGAAATGCCACTCAAAGTGTGGGCCTCAGTCAGCTGCTACCTAGGTACTATCAGCCAATGGACCAGCATTTTGAGTAACATTGCCCTCAAGAAACTCTTGCATATATGCAGGGGAAGACATTTACAAAAACATCACTGCAGAACTGTTTGTAATAGCAAAAACTTTTAAATAACTTAAGTTTACTTGAGCTGGGAAATGGATAAATAAATTGTGGTATATTCATATGATGGAATACTATATACCAGTTAAGATCAAAAATCTAACCTTAGATTTATCAACATTAATAAATTTAAAAGCTAGTACTGAATGTAAAGAACAAATTTTAAGATAATACACAGAGCATATTTATGTGAAGACTAAAAACATGCAAAATCATGTAACTTTTTAAGGACACCTGCATATCTCCACAGAACTTGGATCAAGGGAGAAATATGCAAGGGGCTTCAACTGAGTCTGTTAGTTTATTTTTTAAATATATTGTGAGTAACTACAGAAGAATGTTAAACTTTATATGCTTTATATATGAAATATGAATGAAACAGAGGGATAAAAACGAATTCAGGATCTCAGGAGCTAGGAATAGGATCTGGATCAAAGGAGAAATACACAAAGGTTTCAACTTTTTTAATTATTTATTTTTAAGAGAAAATGTTAGGAACTGATGTACTTTGATGATAGTTCCATGAGTATGCATTATAATATTTTCTGTATTTTTTGTATTTTAAATATTATATAATAATTCCTTTAAAGTCATTCTATGATTTAGAGAGAATGGATAGTAAAGACCTCATTTTAGAGATGAAGGAAGTGAACTTGAGAAATTAAGAGTCTTACCCAAGTTTACAAAACTGGTCATAGAAGGCATATCTCCTGAACCCCAAACTCTCATAAACTCCCACACCACATTGGGCACTGTATGGAGGTCACAGAAGACTCTTAGTAAATGTCTCTCTAATATCCTTGACATCACTATGTAATAATATTTTTCTTCTTCGGGGAAACAGAGGGAATTAACAGACTGTCAAGTAAGCAAATTATACCAAGACCTGTGGACCTCTCTCCAGAAGGTAAACTGTGCTATGGTAAAAAGTAAATACGACAACCACAGAATCCCTTACTCATAGTCCCTCTATTTGGAGATTTTGTTAGCTTGCTTTCCATGATTCTATTAAAGGTTTTCTTCTATTAAACAAAATCTATGCCTCAGTGTCCAGAGGTGATGATAAATGTCCCTAGTGAACCTGCCTGAAATGAAGTAACAGAGTTATGGTTACATGTCACCAAGAGTAAGTTTCTGACCCAGGGGAGGCTGTAAAGTGATCAGAACACCTACCTACTTTGCAGCAAACTTCCCCACAGAGCTGGCTGTGAGATGCATGCAAACACTTCTAGGTCTGCTTCTGTTTTGAATTATGAGTCACACTGCTCTCAGAGATCCAGACTTGGCCAATTATAAAGAATCCCTCCAAAGGGAAGACTGGAAGCAGTGCAAGAAATATCTGAATTATGCTTATTCTTAGTTAGATAGGGTAATAGAAGCCCTTTGTGCTCTGTTTGGTGTTCCATAATTTTAAAAATTTCAAGTTAAGTCCCAGACTAAGCAGAGGTGGCAGAGCTCTTTACCCTGACCTATTGTAAGGCAATGAGCTAAAGTCACATTGACTGAGGCACACCATTACTCTAGCAGTGGGAACGCAGGGTGGGGATATCATACCTCTCTCCCAGAATCCTCTGGAATTTGATTTGCATCAATTTTCCCCGTACCCTGGCTTGGAACAATGTAAAGACTTTAGATGGTCTCTCATCTCTCATTGCTTTCAGTTGGCCCAGAGAGCCGGCTTTTAAAAACACCTAAAAGAAATGTCAGATGTTACTTCTACTCATAGTGGGCATTCAGTAAATGCCTGTTGAAAGGCCCTGTGAGCGATTGATGTATTTGTTTAGCAGTTCTACTACTTGTTAATATTTCTTAATGTGTAAAATGTAAATTCTAGAAAGTTTGGTTTTTTAAACCTAAAGTTTGCCACACACACAAAAAAAAACAACTTTATTTAATCCTGTGGTTATATTGGTTCCTTAAGAACTTAGACTATCCTCCTCCTGATCTATTGGTAATGTCTAGGTTGTCTAGGGAACTTGGTTTACGTTTTAAGATAGGCCCAGGCAGGGGTCTGCACAGTTTTTCTGTAAAGGGCCAGATAGTAAATACTTTTAGGCTTTACAGGTCACACACAGTCTCTGTAGAACCTCCACTCCCACCCCCATCGCCCTCCTCCTCCACCTCCTCTCTTTCTTCTATTTCTTCTTCTTCCTCCTCTTTAAAAATAACCCTTAAAAAATGTCAAACCATATTCATCTAGGGGAGCCATATAAAAAATAGGCCATGGATATGACCCTTAGGCCATAATTTGCTGACCTCTGCTCTAGAGAAAGTCACTTTTGTCTTAGACAATAAAAAATACACATAAATATTTTTTCAAGAATCATTAGTAATGGCCAAGATGAGGTGAGTGAGGTACCTAAAGCACAAATTTTAAGGAAGCACTCACTTTCAGGGTTGTACAAGTCAGTACTTATACAACCTGAAGAGTGAGTGCTGCCTTAAATTTTGTGCCTTAGGAGGCTGTCTCAACTCATGCTAGTCCTGCCCTAGATGAGTAGTATACAGCAAAAATAACTAAACATACAAGGAAGCAAGGCACCAGGAGTGAAAATCAGCAGAAACAGACTCTCAGGTATTCAAAATGTGGGAGTTGAGTAATATTTTATAATCATGTCCAACAGAGTTCTTTTTCTTAAGCTCTTCATCCCAGACCCTCCAATTCTCCTTCAAATAATTTGGCCTTTATATGGATGTTATTAGAAACAACCTGATATTGACTAATGGATAAAACCAAATCTGTTAGTCAGAAGTTTCCCAAAATATGTGGATCATGTTAAGATCTTCAAGATGAAGCAGAATTTAGTGAATCACATTTAAGGAAATTAATTTTGGATTAATTTTTTGGATGGTAGGGTTGACCTTAACATTTTTTTTTTTTTTTCCTGCGGCACGCGGGCCTCTCACTGCTGTGGCCTCTCCCGTTGCGGAGCACAGCCTCCGGACGTGCAGGGTCAGTGGCCATGGCTCACGGGCCCAGGCGCTCCGCGGCATGTGGGATCTTCCCGGACCGGGGCACGAACCCGCGTCCCCTGCATCGGCAGGCGGACTCTCAACCACTGCGCCACCAGGGAAGCCCAACCTTAACATTTTTAGACAGTCTTTCAGAATTAATTTCCTGAAAGTGTACTTGTGGATGAATCAGTTCACATGCAGACAAGCAGTTATCTCCAGTAAGTTGGTTCAATTTTGTCTAGCTCTGATGTGTATACACATTTTCTAGCACACTAAAGTTGATTCAGTATTTTATATCTTGGCACAAACTTGCTTAGATGAATAATTATAAAAATGTAAATGTAGTCAAGACTGAGGTTCAAAAAACATTGAATTTTGAATTCGCTCTCTCAAATAGTGCTGAAGTTTTCAGTTTCACCGGAGCTCTGTTTGTATTAGTTGTGGTCACAAGAGCTGTAGAATGCCTTATAATTGCACTTTCATGGGTATTTTAAGATACACAGACTTTCCTCCCACTCTTCTCCAAAAGCATTCTTTGTAGTTCTCTGGTTACCTTAGTGATTCCAAAGTGATACTGTGTATGGTCTATCTCCAAGGAGCCAAGTAATTCTTCAGCTGCTTTTCTGCTGCTCACAAACTTGCTCTTTGGAAAGGCCCTTTGGTTCAGAATGTAGTACCTAATTTAAAATAAGTAAAGAATAAATCCTGAGGTTGAGGTGCAAATAAAGGAAAATCTGGACAAGTGAGACAAAAGGAGGTATATATAGACTTCCACCCCTCCTACCAATATGTTCAATTTTCACAAAACTCTTGGCAGTAATAATGAGGATACGAGCAATAATTCCTTACTTTGGAATAATAGTTTGTACTTTTCATAGTGCTGTAGAGACCACCTCACTTGATTCTCGGCTCAATTAGGGAGGGAGGGAGGGAGAAATTAGGAGAAAGAGAAAGAAAGAGGCAGGCTTAAGTACATCTCTATCGTGCAGATAAGGAAACTGAAAAGCAGAGACGTTAAAGGTCTTTTCCAAGATTCCCTCACCCTAATGGTGAATTGGTGGAAAGCTAGAAATATACTTCTTAATTCTGACACAGGTACTCTTTCTACTCTACTCTACTTTGCTCACATTTGCTTGATCACCTATAATTTACACATTTAGAATTTGGGAAATAGAAAGCAAAGGTGCCTCTTCTGCCTTCTGCTGCACTCCCTGCTGGCTTCCTTCCTCTCACAGGATTGCTAGTAAAGCAACAGCCTGCTTGGATGGCAGCTACAATTAAGTACATACAACATTTCAGAGACTCAATTCAGCCTCCATATCGTTCTTCTCTATATATTTCTTCTATATGTGGGTCTATTATCCAGTAATAGAGATTTAAGGATATTACATCTACATAGATGTTGGATTTAAGGGGAAATAACAATGGAACTCTGTCATCATATATCTCACTGCCACCAAAACACATCGATCTGTAGTCTGGAGGATATCAACCAAACAAACAATGCATGCCTAAACACTCCAAGAGAAGAAAACGAAATGGACTGCCCCAGGCTTCTTGGATCCTGGGATGTATGTTTACCTTTGTTTAAAATCAGCATACAGCGGGTCGGTTTGGAAAACCTTCACTGCATATCCTGATCCCTTCCAAGACACCATTACAGCGCAGCTGCTGTAGAACCAAATAAGCATCCATTACATCTGAAGAAAAACGGTCACAATGAGTCCACGTCTAAAAAAATGCTTACCCTAGATTTTGTCCTAATTGCTGCATCTGAGGTTAAAAGAGTTTGAATCTAGTGTTCTCTATATCATAGGTAAGAGGATTCACTCACTCCCAGCCTCATGGCACTCAAAGTACCCATCCTATTATGTAGGAGTCTCCGAATAGGATTTACCTGGAATGAAACCTTTAGTTCACAGTTAGTCAAGATTTTATAAGCAAATACTCCTAGAAGATGAAAAAAATACATTTTTGCTAGAAGGTAGATGACTGGCATTATACTCATTTGCCAGCCAAAAACCAGCTAAAGAGGGGATAAAACACAAAAGAGAACTGGCATCTCCAAGTAAGAAGGGGAGGGATTACAAGAAGGGGGAATACAATGAAAGGGGAAGGTGAGAACAGCCACAACATTGTGTTTACTGTTCTGTATTAGGAAAGAATGGGCCACATCCCGGCCTACTTTCTCTCCTGATTATCTTGAGAAAGCCTAAGTTGTATTCGATAGTATAAGCATTCTCCTAGTACCCCTTTGTTCCTGAGATGGAGCCCACTAGAACTGCAGCTGCAATCTCTGATAGGAGCCTTAGAAAAGCCAACCAATGAGCCACTGTATCTGGCTCTCAGCAAGGCTTCTGGAAGAAGCCAAGCAGCACTCTCCTAACAAAGACCTGCTAGAGTGATATAAGGAAAATGGAATGAGATGATTCTCTGCTTATGCCCGGGGTCACAGAAATAAACTCTAAGCCATATATTCATAGTCCTGCACTCCCATCCCTTTCATAGACAGAAACAGATCATCTGTAAGAAGGAGCAGAAGTGGAGTTCTATGACACAATAGGGTCAAGCATGCTCATTCCCTTTAAGGACATATGAAGAACTGTTTTGATTAGATCATGAAGCTTTTCTTATGACTTTCTCTTAAGACTTAGAAAAAAAAAAAAAACCTGCTGAAATCAGAGCTGATTCGATGGGAGTCAACTCTAATAGGTAACAGAGTTGCTCCAAAATAGAGGTAGCTAATTAGATTCCTTGCTAGATGGAAGCAGTGTCCCTAGATGCATTCAGAAACCTAGCTGATAAGAAACAATGAGGCAAAAACATACAGCGTGAATGCACATGAAGGGTTTGCGTTGCAAAAACTCAAACTGCAGCATCATTGTTTAGCATCACACTTTCCCAGAATAGGTCACAGGCTGTCAAGATGGGAGTCTTAATTACAGGAGGTTAATAAAAATGCAAGGTACTACAGAACCTCAGAAATCAGAATCAACAACATCTGGCTACATATTCCAAGGGTGATTAGTGCTCTGAAGACATAAGTGCTTGTCACATATACAACTTTGAGGCTGACAGCCTCCAACCAAGCTCCACAGAAGCCTGTATTTCCAAACAGAAGCCTGGGAATCTTCAAATCCAAGATGTAAGGAAAGTGATCCATGTAATTAATATCTGTAAAAACTTTGTTTTGTTAATTAAAAACATAAATAATTCACAACCACCTATCTATCTCATCACCACCCTAGCACCATCCATTCATCAAAAAGTATTCACTACAAAGCCAAGAAATGGAAACATTCTAAGTGTCCACTGATGGATGAACGGATAAAAAAGTTGTGATATACGTGTATAATGGAATATTATTCAGCCATATAAAAGGAGGAAATCCTGCCATGTGTGATAACACAGAAGGACCTCGAGGGCATTATGCTAAGGGAAATAAGCCAGACAGAGAAAGACAAATACCATACAATCTCATTTATGGTTCTAGGTATTTTCACCATAAGCTTCTTTGTCAAAAGCATTTTTGCTACAAATGTTTTCACCGCATAACTAATTGGCCATGCAGCAATTTTGCCATAAAAGATAAAATAACTGGTTGAGAGTTTGGTTTCAACTGGTTGACAATTTGGTTTCATTTCTCCATTGACACAATACCCCCATTTTCTATACATGAATCTGAAAGAGGCTGAGGGCCTCAGAGGTGCAGAGTTGAACCCACATTTTCCATAGAACTTGGAACATCTACCAACAGACATGTGACAATATGCCAAGAACAAACAACAGTGTGGAAGGCTTTCATAACACAACACAAAGCTGTTACAAACATGTATCCTAGTATTTGGAAACCGATACCTCTCTCAATGAGGGAAGAAATTTTAGCAAAAAAGAAAATGTGTGATGCAGAACAAGGAGATGAATCAACAAGCCAAAAAATGTACAATGAACTATGAACAAAGACTTGGAAGATAAATGCTTAGGTTCAACCCACAAAGTAAAATCAGATATTTGTACCATATTGTCGTGAATCTACACACATTTTAAATTTATTCAAATATTTTATATTTCACAATAGTCTTTTTAATTTTGTTATTCATTTTTCATGTTTCATTATGTCCTTTTTAATGTCCCTCTTTTATTTTTTGTTATTTTATCTTTTATGACAAAATTGCCTTATGGCCAATTAGTTATGTGGGGAAACCGTTTGCAGCAAAAATGCTTGGGGCAAAGATGTTAATAGCAAAGAAGCTTAGGGTGAAAATGCCAGACACACTCACTTAAATGTGGAATCTTCAAAAACCAAACAAACTCATAGAAAAAGAGATTCGATTTGTGGTTACCAGAGGTGGGGTGGTGGAGTGGAACTTGGATGAAGGTGGTCAAAAGATACAAACCTCCATTTTTCAGATAAACAAGTACAAGGGATGTAATGTGCAACATGATGACTATAATTAACACTGCAGTATGATATGTTGAAAGTTATTAAGAGAGTAAATACTAAGAGTTCTCATCACAAGGAAACATTTTTTTTTCTCTTTCTTTTTTTTGTATCTATAAGAGGCGATGGATGTCAACTAAACTTATAATCATTTCATGATGTATGTAAGGCAAACCATTATGCTGTATACCTTAAACGTATAGAGTGCTGCATGCCAATTATATCTCAATAAAATTGGAAGAAAAATAAAATACTTCTTAAAAAGTATCTACTGCCCAGAAGTACATAACTAAAGAGACAGGTAGTTTTAAGGAAAGGGAAGATATTACTATTATGAAGGAAGACTAGAGGGAGTTCTCAACAATTAGAAATGGATTTAGAAACTCTCTTGATGGTCAATTTAGATAATTTAGAACAAATGATTTCTTTACGCTTAAATATCTACTTTAATCCCCAAATTGATTATTCAATCCCTTCTTATTATATTTTGCCCTTGTAGACAATGGCACAGAAGCTCATCCACATTTTAGCGTGAAATTCAAGGAGGAATTTAAATGATAATGTCAAGCATTCTAATGTTATCCAATTGAGTCTGCTTTGTGAAATCCTTCTGTATGTCCACTTGAATCTCAATTCAAAGGCAATCTTGAGGAGGTTTAAAAAACTCACTTTTAACTTATTTTAGTTTTTCTATCTGAAAATCTACCCTTATATAAAACAAACTGGTAAATATTTCATTAAAAGACATTCAACATAGCTTAAATCAAATGAATTTCCTAGTGTGGATTACAAAGAAATCTATTTACCTGACATTTTGTTCACATTGGGATTTATGCATCTCAAAAATGAGGTGCTGTTGATTTCAGGTTAGTCATCAACTTATTTAGGTTTTCCTAAAACAGAGACCATAACCAACACAAAATCACTTTGTAAATCATTAAAAACACCAATCTATGCCACAAAAGTCTCCATGTTGACCAACTTAGTCTTAAAGCCAGATGCATAGCAACAATAAAATAATGAATTCAACATTCTTCCTTGCTTACCAAAATACATTATTTCCTTCCCTTGACAAGTCAATATTTATCTGACTGACATAGTTCTGTTGTGTATCATATCTACCTGTTTTAAATTTGGTAGCAATACTTTATGAATGGGCAATAAAATGGCTTGAAGAAAGAAACTGTTTCTCAAGTTTCCTGCCTGGAAAATTTTTATCTTAGCTCAGTTTCTCTGGAAGCAGAATCTGAGATGGAGATTCTCGTTCAAGAGATTTATTTGGAGAAGGAGGGAAGTACAGTAGGGCAGGGGGAGAAAAAAGCAGTGGTATGGACTCAGTTTAGTCTGAGTCCTGCAGAAGCTCTGAGCACAAATGCACCAATTATACTACAGTTGGTACCTCCTTGAGACAAGGGAGGGGCCAGAATCTGAAGAGGAGAGGAAGGAGACAGATTAGCTTCCCATTCGACCAAGGGCAATTCTGGCAACTGTGAGTTATTATGAGCTAATATTTTCATAAGTGGTAAGATGGGCTGATAAAGGGGATCTAAGTAGGACACTGACAGTGTCCACGAAAGTCCATTAATATCAAGATAATCTTTAACTTTTCCAACTTGGTTAACTTCAGATACTTTATCCTTATTTGAAGATGTAAAATTTCAAATAAGTAATAACATATGCAGATTGTGAGGTAGTTAATATATGAATAGATGCAATTAAAAATTACTTTATGCAGAGATGCAACCATTTGGAATGAAGCTCCTTTCTTGCCTTTCTTCTCCCCAAACTGTAGAGCTAAAAAAAAGAAGAAGAAAAGCACTAAAAAGGCCCTTTTCTGTCACATTACCAAACCCTGCTGATGAAAGCATAAATGTGTCAAAGTTCTAGAAGCAATATGGCTATGTCTACCAAAAGCTTTAAAAATATTCATGTCTCAACACAAAAGTCTATTTCTGGTGCTTTTCCTTAAGGAAATAGGCAACTGTGCACAGATACTCACTGCAGCATTGTTTAGTCATTAAAAAAAAAAATAAGCAAAAAATTTAAATGGTAACAAATGTCTACCAACAGGAGATTGGTTACTTAAATTATGAAAGAGTATGCGTACAATGAAACACTGCAATCTTTTAAAATGATGATGCAGATCCATAGAACTGGCATGGGAAGATTGCTCGGATTTATTTTGAGAGAAAAATTAGGCTACAAAATAGTTTGTATATTATGATACTGAGTGTGTATACATGTTTTTAAGTGTGATTGTATTACGGGTGACTATATACATAAAAAATGTTGGGTAGAGTATACACTAAAATATTAGCAATTGTGATCTCTCTATGTGAGATCAAAGGTAACTTTTATGTTCCTCTTTTTAGTTTTTCTATATTGTCTGTGTTTGGGGCAACACTCATACATTACTTCTGTAATTTATAAAAACAATCTACTCCCACTTTCTTGAAGCAAAGGAATCTATGCAAAGCCAAACTGTTTTACAAACATTTGTGTAGCGCTAACTCATGAAGGTACAAAAGCATAACAACAAAACCCATAGGCAATCTGGAAAAAAAGGGCCAGCTGTCAATATGAAAAACTGATAAAATACTCTCTAGCTTGAGTAGCAACTGTGCTGGGGCAGATGTCATGAAGTTTAATCACTGATGTCCTATTGACATGCCCCAAGCCTTCCAAGTGAATCACTTGACTTCTTTGTACTTCCCCATGGAAAGGGGATACTACTACCTTCCTTTAATTTTTTAAAAGAATTGTAACTGGTTTACAGTACTTGGATTCTCCAGAAGAAAGTATGGTTATTATGAGTAATTTAATTGGGATGAGTCAGAAACTTGGAGGCAAGTCCTTTTTCAGGGGGTCCTTAAAAATAATGAAAAAGGACATTCTGGACAATTCTCTTCTAGTTCAAAAGAACACAGCACACCCAGAAGAGTCAGAAGATGATTTCCTCTCTCATTCTCTGCCCAAACCACTCTCTGATTTCTTATGACCAGAGAATTACTCATCTGGGAGCCATACACTTATGTGGCCACTGTTTATCAGACTTCTCAGAGGTACTTTAGAAGCTATTAGAATCAAGCAAACGCACTACCTGCAGATTTTCAGGGTCCATACACAATAGATTCCATTTCTCAAGCTCCTCTTGAGGCGGACCAACAGGATTTCAGGCATGCTTCTGAATTATGTCATCATGTGCTAATGCGGCTGGGAAGTGCTAAATTCTCTCCATTCCCTGGCCATGCCATCAGGAGTCCCAAAGCAGGCAACAGGGGACAGGAGTGAGCTTGAAGCTGGGTGTAAGACAAGAGGGTGAGAATGTCACAAAGTAAGAGGACACATCCCACTTAAAGAACAGCTAGTACAGTTTGCCCCATTGCTACAAGGGCATCTGAAACCAGACTGGCCAGATTTTCTATTTTTCCATAATTTCCATTTTTCAAAAGAAAAAGGAAACCCAAATGTGTATGTGAGAACTTCCAATTTTTTTTTTTTTTTTTAATCAGTGTGAACCAAACGTGTTTGAAGACCAGTTCTGCTCAGGAGATGCCAATCTGGCAGCTATGAACTGTGACAACTGTGTCCCTCTGCTGCTGGCAGTAGTCCAGACGTGAGGGTAATGGCAGCAACCTGGCCTCTGTATCCTCCAAGGCTTTGTATCATGGTGCAGAAGTCTGAATTGGATCCTGAATCCAGGCAGCCTGTCCATCTCTCTGTTTTGTTTTTTTCCAGAAGACAGTGAGAGTGGAATAGGCACGAGGCTAGTAAGCACAAGTCCTGTTTCCTACCTTGCCTTTGCCATTTAGTAGTGTTAAATTAATGAAGCAAGGAGGCCATCAGACTGAGGTGGCTCTAATGCTGTGTGGCAGCCTATGTAAGCAAACAAAATCTAAGTCTGTTAATGCCCCAAGGTTACCAAATCAAAATGCTAAGGACAACCAATCGCAAACAGCCAACTGGGCTTTAGATACAGCTAATCAATAATTTCTTTACTTTGCTTCTACCTTTTTTCTATAAAAGTTTCTCCCTGAGCTCCTGTGGGTGGAATGCTGTTAACCACTTCTGATTTGGTGCTGCCCAATTTCAATTGCTTTTCCCTCAAATAAACTCTTAAAAATTTTCATATGCCTGAGTTTATCTTTCAACAGTAGATTTGTGAAACTTTAATTCTGTACTTGCTCCTATAAGATAGGGAGAGATTTCCCTTTACATGAATCTAAAAGGGCTAGGACAAGGATTGAGTAAGATAATGTATCTAAAAGTGCTTTGTAAATTACAGACTACTAAACAAGATTGGTTGTTAGTTGGTCAGCAAGTATTTATGGAGTGCCTGCTAAACAGGCATCTGCTACATGCTTGAGGATGCATTTGAACAAGTGAGACATAATCTCTGCTCTCATGAAGCTTACAAAAACCCCATTACTATAATATAAAAGCACGGTGAAAGAGAATTCCAAGATATTTGGGGGATATGTATTAAAGGAGCTTGTTATCTCTCCCAAATCACTTATCAAAACATGGTTTTCTGCTGTCTCTTCAGCTTGGTTAAGTAGAAGATAAAAGCAGGCTGGAGCAGTCTCCTTGAAATCTATCTACCTTAGAGCACCATTTCCCCGAAAAACCACCAGCCAGAGGACGGAAAGGCTAATAAGAGGGGATGACGCAGACCACAGGGATCAAACACAGATATCACAGGAAAGAAGCCAGGATTTTATAAGTGCTGAGGCAGACATGGGTTCCATTCGGAGGCTGAAAAATTGAGGAAGATTTTTCAACTCACCAGTGCTGGTACTGATGTAATTTTCAAAGAGTTTTGCCAGGAGTCTGTTGGACGACTTCTGAAATATAGCCACCACTGTTTCATTAAGAAAGGCTTTGTTCTTTTCGAGCCAGCCACTGATGTTATAAGGCACCTTTGGAAAGGCATGCAGTTCAGGTAACAAAAGAGGTGAATGCATAAGTTACTTAGAAAATTGTGTATTCCTTTTAAAAAAATCATGAATTGTGTGGGTCCTTTAATTTTAAATCAGTTTGATGTAACAGTACTGAATAAATACTCCAGAAATCTATGTGCAACCCAAAGAGATTCTCAGGCTTTACCATTTACATTGTGGAAAGAAAGGACGAGAAGGGGAGGGAGGGAGAGGGAGAAAGAATCAGGGAGGGAAAGAAACACCAAGGAGAGGGAGGAAGAAATAGATGGCGTTTCCAGGAGAAACAATTCACATCAGCCCTCCTTCATAGGCAAGAACAGATGCAATAAAACAACTGTCTCTGACACACAGTGAGCATTCTAAAAACATTATCAATGATATTTTACTATAAATATCATTATAATTAATATTCAAGGATATCAAAGAAGAGATTTACAAGCATATCTAGGTACAACTGGCAGGTCATTTTTAGGTCAAAGTATTATTTTATCCTTCGTCAGTTCTCTTTTTGTGCCATTCAGAATTACTGACCAGAAGCATAAAAGCAGAAAGAAGGGGCATGCGCACGCACACATACACACACACACACTCCAGTGGGGAAATGAGGAGAGGGAGTGAGGGTTATTAGGAATCTTTGTTGGTCATAGTTTGGAGACCATTACTTCACAGTACTCTTTATGAGAGAAGGGGAAAAAAATCTTCAATAAAAAGATCAATTGAAATCACTCGTTCACACAATGTTAAGTTGAAAGGAAGGACAAGTAAGGAAAAGCCCATGTCTTTGATGGTCTCCATAACGTTCTGAAGCTGTCTTACTTTGAGTTGGGGTGACAGAGTCGATTTTGAGATTTTTGACCTCTGTTTTTATAGTATGGGTGTTTCATATCCTAAGTGCTAAAAGGCTACACCAACTTTTTTGGGGGACCTGAGATTTATTTTGTTCATCTCTTTAATCTAAACTTTACTTATATATTATCTAAGGATTTGGGCTGAGTACATTTGAAACAGAGGCAGGAAAATTCAGGGCTGAGGGTCTAGAGGTAACTTACCACTCCTGCACAATGGACAAGGTCAAAGTGAGCTTCATCTTTCTTCTTATTGTCAGGCTTGGGCTTCTGGAAATGAACTGGCTTTCCAAAATGGTTGTCAGAAAGTTTGGTCTTGAAAGTCACATCTGCAGCCTGATGAAACATACATTCCTCTTCAAGGATGGAAAAGATGCCCATTGGCTGTTGGAGATACAGATGAACAGCAGCTGAAAAAAACACCAGTAAGCAGTATTTTCAGTAGAGGGTCAATGTAAATTCTTTCCTATGAACCTAATTAGTTGACAAGGAGAAAGGAGCTTCACTACATATAATTAGCCAATCATCCATTCAACAAATATTTATTAAATACCTACTAGGTACCAGGCACCAGCAGGAGCTGGGGATGAAGCCATGAGCCACATTCACAAAGTGTCTGTCCTCAGGGTACTTACATTCTAGTGGAGCAGACAGACAATAAACAAGTAAACACTAAATAAATAACTTAGTTTCCCATAAAGGCTCTGAAGAAATCATGCAAAGTAAAGAGAGAGAATGACTGGGGCTATGTTAGAGCTATTTTAGTAGGAGAGTCCAGTAAAACCCTCTGACCTGAATGAGAAGAGCAAATCCTGAGAAGACCTGTGCACAACTGTACTGGGCAGAAAAATGAAGAGTGCAAAGGCCCTGAGGTAGGAGCACCCTTGCCAAATTTCAGGTCCTACCAGAGGCAAGTGTGGACAGAGCAGAGCTAGTCGGAGAGAGTGCGTGGAAGGAGAGATGCAGTACTGGATCCCAAAGGCTTTATAGGCCATGGTAAGACATTTGGATTTTACTTTAAGTGTAATGGGAGGCCTTTGGAGATTTTTTAAGTGATGTGATTTAATTAATACTTGAAAAGGATTATTTGTTTAGGAAGGGGTTGGCAAAGTAAAGCCTATGGGCTAATCCTGCCTATGGTCTGTATTGGAAAGCCGGTGAGCTAATAATGGTTTTTACATGTTTAAAGGGTTGTTTAAAAAAGCAACCAAGAAAGGATATGTGATAGAAAACTGATGACAGCATCAGAAAGCTTTTTCTCTAAAGGGCCATATAGTAAAGCTCTTAGACTTTGTGGGCCACAGAGTCTCTGCTGCTCCTTTGCCATCAACTCAGTCATTTCAGTCCTGAAAGCACTAATTGACGATATGTAAATAAAACAGTTGATTGATAGTGTTGGAGACTGTGAGCGGTCACTGAAACGTGATGCTGGTGGAGAGTAGAGCTGAGTCATAGCTTGCTGATGGATAGAACGTGGGGTGTAGTAGAAAGAGGAAGGATGACCAGGTTTTGGTTTGAGCAAATGGGTAGTGGATGCTGCCATTAACCAATATAGGGTATATACAGATGGGGAAAAACAGGTATGGGTGGGGGGGAAAGATGAGGGATTCCTACATTTGCGAATCTATTTGTGGATTTGTATGTTCATTTATCTACTCCACAAACATTTTTGAAATGCCTTCTATGAACAAATCACTGTGCCAAACACTTTGGGTTATAACAGAAGAATCAGACATGGGCTCTGGCTGCAGAGCATCTAACTGAGAAGACAACACATGCACATAATATGTAGACTACAAAGCAAACAGAAAATATCATGAGAGTTCCAAGATAGAACCATGACCCCTTGGTCCAACAACATAGATTTCATGATTCTCTACCAATCCTTTGTACCTAAGAACCACAAATGCTCAGGTTTGGGAGAGACATAGGTCTGGCCCAACCCACCGAAAAGCTCCTTGAATTCCATTTACAATTTCTCTCTAAAAAGTAGGTTAGCCTATGCTTGAATATTTTCATGGAGAAGGAACACACCAACTCCGAGTCAAGGCTCTGGCTGGGTGATATATGAAAAGAAAATTTTTTTGTGGTTTAGAATCCTTTGTTCAAAATTATGCCACTGGAGCATACGAATGGGTCTAATTTGGATTATTACATTCTTGAAGAACATGTTTTTTATCCACCTGAGTCTATCATTCTAATATACGGACTATGGTTTTCTACCTCTTTTGTCTAGTCTCATAGACTTAGAATCTGCACTTTATAGAAAATGTATTGAATGACATTCCATCAATAACTCTTGTACTGAAGGGCTCCGGCACATCTTCTTTCTTCCCAAGCATCCAGGTGGGGGATGATGCAGTGAGTAAATATGCAAAGTCTTGCTCCTGGCGGCACTGACCTTGCAAGTTCTTGGCAAAGTGAGAAATGTGGAGGAGAACAAGCAGGAGGAAGGAGAACCTGATAAAACTAAACAATTGAGTCACCGGTACAGGGTCTTAGAGGTGTGGACTCCATCTTGTATTGCATATTTTCCTACCACAGAAATAGTCAACCTTCAGTGAACACTAGAATGAATCATTTAAAAATGTAAGCATCTCCTGGGATGGTGCCTGTTAACAAGAGGGATGTGGCAAAGCCTCACAGGGAGCAGCAGCCCCCATCTCCAGCAGAGCCACCTTCCATACATGAGGACCATCGTGTCCCTGGGACACCAATGAAGCCATCTTCTGTTTGGAGATGAATGGATGTTTTATGCAAAGCAAGTAGATGTCACAGCTCAAAACATAACAATTAAACCACTGAGGAGGGAAAAAACGCTATTTCTTCAGGGTCTTCTCTATTTCTCCAATGCTTAGGAAGTATAAAACCCCTAATAAATTTGAGGGCTTCTAGCAAATTAATTTCCAAATAGGTCAGGAAAAAAAGTAATTGTGTTCTGTCCTGTAGCATCAATTGTCTTCTAGCACACAGTATATGGTCTAAGTCAGTTGCCCTGACTCTGAACATTAATGCTGTAACCTCTCCTTCTTCAAATCTTATCAATTCTGCCTTCCTCTCCTTTTACATCTGTTACTTTCTTATTATTTCCATGTCTGCTGTCCTGATTCAGGGCCTCTATTCCTCACCTGCTGTAATAGATTCTTAATTGCCCTAACTCTAGCTTTCCTCCCATCCCAGACCCCATACATAAACCCACCAGATTAAACCCAAGCATCTCTGACTGCCCCATTGCCCGATGTGGAAACTTCTCTGGCTCCCCATTGCCTAAAAAACTGTCAAAATTCATTAAGATCCCTTCACAGCCTGACTCTCCTGTTTTACTTCTAGATATTTCGGTCTGTATACTCCGAGCTCTAAGCAGATTTTGAAATGTGTCCATTGCTTTCCTGTCTCTAAGGCTTTGCTCTTGCCTGTCCCTTCACATGCTCACTATCTTCCTCTTTTCACCTGCTGAAATTATATCCATTTCTTCAGACCCAGCTGAAAATTTACCCCCCTTCCCAGCAGGCCTTCCTAGATTCCTGCAGGCAGAGGTGACCTCTGCTCTTCTGAGCTCTGTGGGCCTTTGTCTGTGCCTTTACTGCATTTATCCTGACACATATTTCTACATTTATTAGACTTACAAATATCCTATTTGACTGCATACATCCTAAGGGCAAGGGCTATTTTTAACAAATGCTTAAGTTTTCCACAGCATTTCATTCAAAGTTTTATAAATAGTAATGTAGTATTAGGCCTAAAATTAAGGTCCAATATTTTGTGGGCTTTGACATCAGGGGAACACCAGGAAAGCCTCAAATGACCTGATCAGGGGTTCCCTTCCCCATGTTCTACAGTGGGTTAGGTCCTCCAGCCATGCAACATTCTTTATCATGGGAACAGGCACAGAGCCTGCTTCTTCTTTTTTTTTTAAATTTTATTTATTTATTTATTTTTGGCTGCATTGGATCTTTGTTGCTGCACACGGGCTTTCTCTAGTTGCAGCGAGCGGGGGCTACTCTTCGCTGTGGTGCACCAGCTTCTCATTGCAGTGGCTTCTCTTGTTGCGGAGCACGGGCTCTAGGCGTGCAGACTTCAGTAGCTGTGGCACACGGGCTCAGTAGTTGTGTCTCATGGGCTCTAGAGCGCAGGCTCAGTAGTTGTGGTGCACGGGCTTAGTTGCTCTGCGGGCATGTGGGATCTTCCCGGACCAGGGCTCCAACCCGTGTCCCCTGCATTGGCAGGTGGATTCTTAACCACTGCGCCAACAGGGAAGTCCCGAGCCTGCTTATTCTTGAGCAAGGGATTTCAGTTACCCGCAAGCCCATATTCAAACAAGACAATCACATCCTCCAGTGGGAATCAGTGTCACCTCACCCTATTATTACTACAAAGCCCGGCTCCCACAGCTCTCGCTTTTTCATTCTGCTCCCAAGTGTAACTTCCATGTGACCTCACATGGCAGGCAGTGTCCTCCTCCCCCAGGCTGTGAGTATATGTGACTTATAAGCTGCTGTCAATCTCATCTGTCCAGTGTCAGGGGTCATATGTTCAGCCATTCCCATAACCCTAGGATAGGAATCCCTCTCTCAGCAGTGGAGTGAGGAGGAAGTGATCAAAACAAGTAGTTGCTAAATACATTTACTTGTTAAACTTTGGAAACTAGTAAAATTTTGGTCTTAAGACATCTTTGCAATTATATCCTCAGTACCTTGAGTGCCAGGATGATGTCTCTGGTTTGTGTTTCTCACAACCCTTAGCATAGTAGGCCCTGAGGTGACTAAAATCTAGGTCCTCAGCAAATTTCTGTTAAGGAATTGATTGATAGGCGAACACTAAGACATACAGGTTCAAGCTGTGGGACCTGGGCTGCTTTGCTGTGGGCAATAGTTAGGCAGAAAGTAAGAGTTGTGAGCCAAAAAACACAATGTTATATGTTTAAAGAAAATATTTATGTGCATACAAGGGATAACTAACTAGATATTAATGTGGTTCATTTTATAATAAAAACACCAGAATTAGCATATCCAAAGAACTCTACTTGGGAGACAACAACAGTCATTGCCAGGATGCTACCAGGATTTAAATATTTTAGAAACTTCTATGGGATATCTGACACCTTTGACTATTGGCATGTGGAAACATCCTGTTGTCTGACCATGGATCATTGCATAGAAACAATCACAAGTAATTTGGGTCAAGTCAGACAAATAAGGTGAAAAATGTGACAAAGTTGGTAATAAAGTTTGGACTCGAAAACAGTTAAGATGATCAGTATTAAAGTTAATTTTCTCTCAAAGATAGTAACAATCTAACAATTTATCCCAATCCCTGTCCCATGAGGGACTTTTTCCAAAAGGGCTGAATTGTTGGAAGAAGGACGTAGCCTCTCAAGGTGACTCATTGAAGGGGCAACAGTTTTTAAATATATAATTTTGGATGTATTTGTTTTAAAAAATAATAAAAATAATCTCTTTACCAATACCTAATGTAAAACCATAAATGTAATCAATGTTAATACTTTGATATGTAAATTATTGATGCTCAAGTTCTAAACAAACTAGAACATTTCAAGTAATCAGATAAGTGTGAGCTAATCCTGTAATAGATCAGTTCACTGCATACGTATAGAAGATTACTGTATGTTTGAAGACCAAATTAACAAAGTTGGTATGAAAATACTTTTTTTTAGTTTGATATAAACTTTTCTGTACATGTAAAAACACAAAACTTACATGTATGAAAATCTCTCTTTTCCTGATATACACACACACAGATGCATTCTATAAGACATATTACATGTACTGATGTATTTTAGTTCCTTTGAAAACTTCCCATGATGCATTCTGTTTCAAGGAGTGAGTTTGATCATTAATATTTCCTACAAATTTCCTTCATGTACCTGAGCAAACACAATGATCTTTTCAAAATATAGAATCGTTTCAAGAAACATTTTGGTATTCTGCATTTGCCTGACCTGAACACCTTTGAAATCATTCACAGGAAAACAAAGACTTATCTTTTCCTTCTATCATCTGCTCAGTTTTGTTTCTTTTTTCTCATTTTATCATATCAGTAGAAAGTACAACAGGAAATTACATCTAGGTTGCTAGTGTCTTATTTAGAATAACCTTGTCATAAATAAGATAACAGGCTTCAGATCAACTACAAATCAGTAGCATTCACAGGGCTATTAGGATCTGAATAATGTCTGCATCCCACCTTCCTGCCTGAACACAGTATCTTGTCATAATCAGAGTAAGTAGATATTATAGGTGACAACTGACCAAAGTTAAATCTGCCCCTAGAAGGGGCTCCAGTTCTATTGTTTCATTTCTAATTAGGAAACTATAGCTTTAATAATGCCACCAAATATTTACCAGATCATGGTTAGGTCATTATTATCATTATTTTTAATCAGCTCACAAGCTGGTTCATTATCATTATTTTTTTAATCAGCCTGTCCTCCCCCCAGGAAGTTCACTGGTTATAAAACAAGAAAAATCAATGTGATGTCCACTCCTGTTAGGAATAATGGCTACTATCAAGGAAGATTTAGTTTCATCTAAGTCTAACATAAAATGGGTGGGACAGTGATTGATACAATCTGGACCCCACAAAGGACAGTGAAAGGTCAGTCACCCTTGCCGCTTCCTGACAGGGTTGCTGAGAATCAGATATGACAGCATAGCATAGCTTCCTAGACCTGTGTCCAGAATTCACTGCAATCCATGGCTATAGCAAGACACAAGGGCATGTAGCTGTTCACACCCCACCATGGTTGCTCCCTTGGACAAAGCCACAGGAAAAACCATACTGAATTTCCCCAGAAAATCTGGTTTATCTTTTCCAGAACACATGGAAATAGTTCAAAGTAGAGGAACATCATCGAATTCAGAAACCATACACTGCAGCTAATTTACTAATAAGCCATGAAGTATTGTCATAAATTACTTAAACTAACAGGTACTTGTCCAATTAAATGAACAAACTACATCCTTCAAGGTAGAGGCCTTGAGGATTTATGGCAATGGTTTGTTTGCATGCTAATTTGCCAAATTTTGTTAAGCTGCTCTGGGTCTACTCATGCACCTTATGTTAATCAGCCAGGCCCTACAGGGTTCATCTTTTCAGCTCTGTGTTTTTCCAGTCAAGAACAGGACCCTTTTTCATCTCAACAAGCTTCCTCACCTATTAACAGTGGAGGTCATGCGTAAGCAGCAAATGTGTAGCGACAGTGTGAGTTAGAGATGATGGAGTAGGTAACTGACGTGAGAGTTTAGTTACGATGCCACGGTGCTGCACAAAAAAGAACATTAAGAGAAAATGTGCAGAGCTCTCCTGCCCTATTTCCCATCCCCTTCACAGAGCCTGGGTCCTGACATGGATCAACATGGCAGGCAGGGACAAGTCTCCTTAAACGAAGATGGATGAGGAGAAAAACATGCATCACCTTCTCAATGAGATCTTTGCAGGCTTGCAAGTCCAGGACAAACTCAATGGACACCCAGTCAGTGCCTTCTCTCCTCTTTTCCTCTTGCTTCAAAACCAGCATGTGCTGACTGAAGAACTGTTGTAAATTTTCAATGGTAAAATTAATGCAAATTTCTTCAAGGCTGTTATACTTCAAGGCTGTGATTAGGTAGGAAGAAGAGATAAAAATAAAATTGAGAAAATGGTTATTATTGAAGGTGATGGTTAATTAACTTAATTGTGGTGATTATTTCACAGTGTATATGTGCACCAAATCATTAAGTTGTGCTACTTAAATATATACATTTTTTAGTTGTCAAATATAACTCAATAAAAAAATGAAATAAAATTGAGGTCCACTTGCAAAAATGTAAAGAGAAAACCATAACCACTATCATATGTTGGCAAGTAGACCCAATAAGTAAAAATAGCACAATTAAATTCTTACCTCCTTCATCTATACCTGCAAACTAAAGATTATGACAGTTCAATAATACTTAATGATACTACAATTCAAAATCATAAAAGATGTCTTTATTTACCTCTATTTAAGGCTGAATTAATTTCTTAGCACTATTAATTATAATAATAGTTATTGTTATTTGTTACTATTAATAATAGCTTTTTCCAACCAAAGTAACTCTTCAGGTTTGCACAGAATGAATCTCACCATGCTTTGACTAAATTTTCTGAAATTCAATTCACATAGTCTAATCTCCTTGTAAATATACATTGACTTCATTCTTACTAAATATACTTACATTAAGCATCTCAAAACCAACGATGTCAAGAATGCCAATGAAGATTAGCTTCAAGATGGTGAACAAGTAAGACATGGAGATCACCTTCCTCCCCACAAATACATCAGAAATACATCTACACGTGGAACAACTCCTACAGAACACCTACTGAACGCTGGCAGAAGACCTCAGACCTCCCAAAAGGCAAGAAACTCCCCACGTACCTGGGTAGGGCAAAAGAAAAAAGGGAAAACAGAGACAAAAGAATAGGGACGGGACCTGCACCAGTGGGAGGGAACTGTGAAGGAGGAAAGGTTTCCACACACTAGGAAGCCCCTTCACTGGTGGGGACATGGAGTGGCGGGGGTGAAGCTTCAGAGCCACGGAGGAGAGTGCAGCAACAGGGGTGCGGAGGGCAAAGTGGAGAGATTCCCGCACAGAGGATCGGTGCCAACCAGCGCTCACCAGCCCGAGAGGCTTGTCTGCTCACCCGCCGGGGCGGGCAGGGGCTGCGAGCTGAGGCTCGGGCTTCAGTCGGAGCGCAGGGAGAGGACTGGGGTTGGCTGCGTGAACACAGCCTGAAGGGGGCTAGTGCGCCACAGCTAGCCGGGAGGGAGTCCGGGAAAGTCTGGAGGTGCCGAAGAGGCAAGAGACTTTTTCTTCCCTCTTTGTTTCCTGGTACGTGAAGAGAGGGGATTCAGAGCACCGCCTAAACGAGCTCCAGAGACGGGTGCGAGCCACGGCTATCACCACGGACCCCAGAGACGGGAGCCTGTGCAGCCTGCCACTGCCAGGGTTCCGTGATCCAGGGACAACTTCCCCGGGAGAACGCACGGGGAACCTCAGGCTTGTGCAACGTCACGCCGGCCTCTGCCGCCTCAGGCTCGCCCCGCACTCCGTGCCCCTCCCTCCCCCTGCCCTGAATGAGCCAGAGCCCCCGCATCAGCGGCTCCTTTAACCCCGTCCTGTCTGAGCGAAGAACAGACGCCTTCGGCGTCCTACCACAGAGGTGGGTCCAAATCCAAAGCTGAACCCCGGGAGCTGTGCAAACAAAGAAGAGAGAGGGAAATTTCTCCCAGCAGCCTCAGGAGCAGCGGATTAAATCTCCACAATCAACTTGATGCACCCTGCATCTGTGGAATACCTGAATAGACAACGAATCAACCCAAATTGAGGAGGTGGACTTTGGGAGCGACGATATATATATATTTTTTCCCTTTTTCTCTTTTTGTGAGTGTGTATGTGTATGCTTCTGTGTGTGATTTTGTCTGTATAGCTTTGCTTTTACCATGTGTCCTAGGGTTCTGTCCATCGAATTTTTCTTTTTTTTTGTTTTAGTATAGTTTTTAGCACTTGTAATTGGTGGATTTGTTTTTTGCTTTGGTTGCTCTCTTCTTTCTTTCTTCTTTTTTATTACTTTTTAAATTTTTTTATATTTAATAATTATTTTTTATTTTAATAACTTTGTTTTATTTTTCTCATTCTTTCCTTCTGTTTTCTCTCTTTTATTCTAAGCTGTGTGGATGACAGCATCTTGGTGCTCTGGCTAGGTGTCAGATTTGTGCCTCTGAGGTGGGAGAGCCAAGTTCAGGACATTCGTCCACCAGAGACCTCCCAGCTCCACATAATATCAAACGGCAAAAATCTCCCACAGATCTCATTTTCAACAACAAGACCCAGCTCCACTCAATGAACAGCAAGCTATAGTGCAGGACATCCAATGAAAAACAACTAGCAAGACAGGAACACAAGCCACCCATTAGCAGAGAGCCTCCCTAAAATAATATTAAGGTCACAGACACCCCAAAACACACCACCAGACGCAGACCTGCCAACCAGAAAGACAACATCCAGTCTCATCTACCAGAACAGAGGCACTAGACCCCTCCACCAGGAAGCCTACATAATCCACTGAACCAATCTTAGCCACTGGGGGCAGACACCAAAAACAACAGGAACTACAAATGTTCAGCCTGCGAAAAGTAGACCCCAAACACAGTAGGTGAAGCAAAATGTGAATACAAAGAAACACAAACCAGATGAAGGAGCTAGGTAAAAACCCACCAGACCGAACAAATGAAGAGGAAATAGGCAGTCTACCTGAAAAAGAATTCAGAGTAATGATAGTGGAGAAAATCCAAAATCTTGGAAATAGAATGGAGAAAATACAAGAAACCTTTTAACAAAGACCTAGAAGAACGAAAGAGCAAACAACAATGAACAACAAAATAAATGAAATTAAAACTTCTCTAGAAGGAATCAGTAGCAGAAAAACTGAAGCAGAAGAATGGATAAGTGACCTGGAAGACAAAATAGTGGAAATAACTGCTGCAGAGCAGAATGAAGAAAACAGAATGAAGATAATAGAGGACAGTCTCACAGACCTCTGGGACAACATAAAATGCACCAGTATTCGAATTATAGGGGTCCCAGAAGAAGAAGAGAAAAAGAAAGGGACTGAGAAAATATTTGAAGAGATTATAGTTGAAAGCTTCCCTAACATGGGAAAGGAAATAATTAATCAAGTCCAGGAAGCACAGAATGTCCCATACAGGATAAAACCAAGGAGAAACACGCCAAGACACATATTAATCAAACTATCAAAAATTAAATACAAAGAAAAAATATTAAAAGCAGCAAGGGACAAACAACAAATACCATACAAGGAATCCCCACAAGGTTAACAGCTGATCTTAGAGCAGAAACTCTGCAGGCCAGAAGGCAGGGGCAGGACATATTTAAAATGATGAAAGGGAAAAAACTACAACCAAGATTACTCTACCCAGCAAGGATCTCATTCAGATTTGACAGAGAAATTAAAACCTTTACAGACAAGCAAAAGCTAAGAGAATTCAGCACCACCAAAGCAGCTTTACAACAAATTCTAAAAGAACTTCTCTAGGCAGGAAACACAAGAGAAGGAAAAGACCTACAATAACAAACTCAAAACAATTAAGAAAATGGTAATAGGAACATACATATCGATAATTACCTTAAATGTAAATAGATTAAATGCTCCTACCAAAAGACATAGACTGGCTGAATGGATACGAAAACAAGGCCCATACATAGGCTGTCTACACGAGACCCAATTCAGACCTAGGGACACATACAGACCAAAAGTGAGGGGATGGAAAAAGATATTCCATGCAAATGGAAATCAAAAGAAAGCTGGAGTAGCAATTCTCATATCAGACAAAATAGACTTTAACACAAAGACTATTACAAGAGACAAAGAAGGACACTAAATAATGATCAAGGGACCAATTGGAGAAGAAGATATAACAATTGTAAATATTTATGAACCCAAAAAAAGAGCACCACAATATATAAGGCAAATGCTAACAGCCAAAAAAGGGGAAAATGACAATAACACAATCATGGTAGGGGACTTTAACACCCCACTTTCACCAATGGACAGATCAACCAAAAAGAAAATAAATAAGCAAACACATGCTTTAAATGATACATTAAACAAGATGGACTTAATTGATATTTATAGGACATTCCATCCAAAAACAACAGAATACACTTTCTTCTCAAGTGCTCATGGAACATTCTCCAGGATAGACCATATCTTGGGTCAGTAATCAAGCCTTGGTAAATTTAAGAAAATTGAAATCATATCAAGTATGTTTTCTGACCACAACACTATGAAACCAGATATCAATTACAGGAAAAAATCGGTAAAAAATACAAACACATGGAGGCTAAACAATACACTACTTAATAACCAAGAGATCACTGAAGAAATCAAAGAGGAAATTAAAAAATACCTATAAACAAATGACAATGAAACCACAACAATCCAAAACCTGTGGGATGCAGCAAAGGCAGTTCTAAGATCAAGTTTATGGTAATAGAATCCTACCATAAGAAACAGGAGGAATCTCAACTAAACAACCTAAACTTACACCTAAGGCAATTAGAGAAAGAGGAACCAAAAAACCCCGAAGTTGGCAGAAGGAAGGAAGTCATAAATATCAGATCAGAAATAACTGAAAGAGAAACGAGGGAAACAATGGCAAAGATCAGTAAAACTAAAAGCTGGTTCTTTGTGAAGACAAAATTGATAAACCATTGGTCAGATTCCTCAGGAAAAAAAGGGAGAAGCCTCAAATCACCAGAATTAGAAATAAAAAAGGAAAAGTAACAACTGACACTGCAGAAATACAAAGGATCATGAGACATTACTACAAGCAACTCTATGCCAATAAAATGGACGACCTAAAAGACATGGACAAATTCTTAGAAAAGCACAACCTTCTGAGACTGAACAAGGAAGAAATAGAAACTATAAACACACCAATCACAAGGACTGAAATTGAGACTGAGATTAAAAATCTTTCAACAGATAAAAACCCAGGACCAGATGGTTTCACAGGCAAATTCTACCAAACATTTAGAGAAGAGCTAACACCTATCCTTCTCAAACTCTTCCA